CATCTGCAGCTATAATGCCCACATTTGCTAAACCGACTCTGTCTAGCATGCCTCGAAGCACCTGGATGCAGCACAAACCATAAAAGAGAACATAAACAAAAAAAAAAGGTTTGAAAAAAAAAGAGAACATAAACAATGTAAAACTTTAATACTGACCAGTTCCGTTGTATTTGCTATTTCCTGATAAAATAATACTTCAATATCTTACCTTGATGTACTTTACATCAAATTGCTTTTCATTCCATATCTAAAGAACATATTAAAAAGACAGTTAAAATACAAGTCTGACACTGTAGAGAAACACATTATAGAAGAACAGAACTGTAATCACCCCTATGTAATCAATATCAAGGTCATGATATTGTTTCGCTCCAATGACCCAAGACACAACATATTTAGCAGTAACATCTGGAAAGGTGTATGGCCAGTTGGTCCCGTGACCTATCCATCCTGGGAATGCCCAGGGAAGACCTTCAATAAAGATCATGAGATTTGGTGTTACATCAGCAAGTTCCATGATATATATTTGACTAAGGTTTCCTTCATAAATCATTCACATTCTTATTAAAATCTGACCAATGAGAGTGATGTTTGGGTTCCTCTTCTTGGCTTCTTTCATAAGCCACCACTCGTAACCACGGAAAAAATTCTCTTCCTTCTCAACATGCATATGCGAAGGTTCTGTACCATCTGCAATAGAAAATAAATTCACACTGATTATTTGGTTTATTAGTCCAAATCTCATCAAAGTTATACAAAATACTGCACTTATATAGTTGTATGCAAAAGTCTGACCCCTCCCCAAACAAATTATATGTTGATTTTCTAAATGAAAATAAGTTAATATGTCCTCTACTTAAATACGGTGTTTCTCTGCAGATTTCAGTGCACACTTTCTGTTTTTTTGCTGTTTAATATTTAGGAAAAAATGAAACATAACACATTAAATGTAACGTAACTTTTACACAGGAAATGTTTTTTTCTCCCCAATATGTTAAACTCAGCAAATAAACAGTAATTGTGCATTAAAATGTGCAGCAGTGTGTTCTTTGTAGAGGATGTGTTTACTTATTTTCACTTGTGAAATTACTAAAACGTCACTTAACCAGGGTTGCCCAAACTTTTGCGCAAGACTGTATGTGTCTGTCCATAATTTTGTACAGACACTACAGACTGCACATTATTATGCACTCAGCATATCTACACAAACTAGGATTTGGCTCTGACATCACCGGGAATCAAACTTGTGATCTCCCAGTGACAAGGCCAACACTTAGACCAGTGGTTTTAAATGTGTGGGCTGTGGACTGTGGTAATACTGCTAGGGCACCACTGGCAGTCGGTTTTGTTTTTGCTTTGTTACAATATATAGACATTTAGCCAAACATAATTTTAAATATGACAAATATCATTTGTATTCTGATTTGCATTATTTAGGTCAAACTCAGTGACACTGCTACAGTTAGTTAACTCAACCTCTACCTCGGTGGAGGAGTGTTCTCTGAGATTTTTGATGAGTTTGAGTGATAACACAGTGTTCCACACTGTTTAATCCAGATTTTATACTTTTCCGTATGTGTCCTCAGTTTGGGAAATGGGCAAAATTTTACTCCCCATCCAAACTTTTGTGATTTTAAAATACCCCACACAACACTGCAACATTTCATTTAATTCTGAAAGCTTGTCAGATGTGCTAGGGCCTAGTAACAGTTGCTAAGATAGAGAGGAGGGGTTTAGTAAAAGGTGCATTATTTTTTACTTCAATCTGAAAGTCATCATATTGTTTTGGATGATTTAGAAAATCCAGTTTTCTCTCACTTCAGAGCAAAGAGTAATGACACATTTGTGAAAAAAAGTAGTGAAAAAGTAGTCCCAAAAAATGGTTCTAAAAGAGGTCTCAAAGAAGCCCCAAAAATGGAAATTAATAAAGTACAGATACCTAATACAGTACCAAAAGCAACACTTTGTAGGATCTGGGGATTTGGAGACCTCTCTGGTGGAAATGTGGAAGAACGTTTTGTAACATCAGTTGTGCTTTGGACCCCCACAAACAGATTAATCTGACTTTTGCAAATGCACTGAATGAGTTTTCAAAAAGAACTAAGTCAAAACTTGGTGAAAGTTGCATCTTCCAAGGATGTGAGCAAATGTTGTACTACTGTCATCATATCTTCCTTAGAATAATGTTGACTATGCAGGAGAGCTAAACATCGACTCAGACATTATTTTTGAGCCTGGGTGTGTGATGTATGACGTGGTCTGAAAAACTCCCACCAGATCCATCCCAGTACCTCTTTTTTTTTTTAAATGATTATTTTAGGCTTTAGAGTGTGACTCTCAGCGGTGCACACACACCATATTTTAGTGTGTTCTTTTTTCACTATACTCTGTAAAGCTACTTCTTTCAGCTTTGGCAAAAATAATACATAGTGCTGCTTTAAGTGCAGTACGAAGCACATGTACATACTTACTGTGCACCCCGATTAAAAGATTAGTATATTCTTCCCGTAATGTACGTTCTTAACAAAAAAAGGTTTTATACAGTACCAAAAAAGGTTCTTTGACTTGTATCACCCTTTTTGGTGCTAGATAGAACCATTCTTTAAAGAAGATGTTATTTAAAGAATTATATATAACAGCTTTACCTTCATAGAGAAGAACCATTTAACCTTGCAGAGAGCCATTTCAACATTCAAAGGGTTCTTTAAGTTGTCACAGTTCTATATGTAACCATTACCTTTACTAAAGAACCCTTGAAGAACCCCCTTTTTAAGAGAGAAGGCCATTTATTGTCTTAATAGGCTGTCACAGCACTCTCCTGTTGTGTTTGCTGATACTCTGTACTAAAGAAGCTACATCAGCATATAACCTTAACCTTTGATTTGATCACCTGCTGAAAGATGACAGTTGTTTTTACTTGATAAGGCCCACAGGCTCCTCACAATAAAATGACACTTCAACCTGACCAACCCGACATTCATATGACTTCTAGAACTACTCATCACTCGACAAGGGTGTTTTGTAAGGTTACATCCTCCTTACTAAAGATTTTAGCACGCATAAATCAACACTTTTTTTTTAAAAGGTTTAATTAACTGTAAATACCAGACGGACTGGTAGTTCCTCACCTGTGGTTTGGGCATCGCCGCCTATTTCCACTTTAAGAATGTGCAGTGAAGCTCCAAAGTTGGGCTGGGAATAAAGTCATCAGAAGATTAAATGACAGCAAGAGCAAACACTGCACTCACAGCTGTCACTTAAAGGTAATCATGGGTAGGCAGCAACTCAAGAAGGGTTTAATCATACATTCTGAAAAATAAAGGTGCCAAAAAGGGATATGTGGAGTGATGTCATGGGGGGGGCGCATTTTGGACAGCCCTGCCTAAGAAGAACCACTTTTGGTTCCCTAAAGAACCTTTCAGTGGATGGTTCTGGTATTAAAGAACCATTTTTGTAAATGCAGGAGTGGACAAAGTACAGTACTTCTGTAAAAGTGGATGTACTCTTGGTAAAACACTACTTGGGTGAAAGTACAAGTATAACACAAGCATATACTTACTATAACAGTGCATAGGCAAAGACAAAAAGTGTGATGATGTTGTAAGGCTACCTTGAAGAGGTAATCCAGAATCTGACTCCTATACGGTTCTTGATAGTTGATCAGCAGCCGAGAAGTGGCCTAAAGACAAAAACACACTTTCTCACCTCAGCTGTCACTCTGGACGAGCTGAATAGAGCAGAACAGACATGACCTACCCCTCCTCCACTCAAGCCCCCAATGCCATCAAAGGTTCTCCCAGTCCGGTACTGTCATCCAGGATATACACCTCAGCCAGACACACGCAGAAGCAGCATGGGAGGAGAAGCAGGGCTCCGAGTGGAACCATCGCAGCTCGTTTCTGTAACTACAGGCTGCCAAACAGAAAACGAGTCGCCTTGACTGCTGAAGCTTCCTTGTTAGGTAACGTGACTCTCAGCCTCAGCACGCTGGGTCGGTTCAAGAGCGCCTACACACAGCCACACATTTCAACCGTGACATTCGCTTAGAGTCCAAAACTGCCATGTCTGAAAAGCAAAAATAATCACTAATGGACGACTCGAAATAAAAACATCACTTTTTTCAGAGAAGCTCAAGTTGGTCTGAGTTGGCCTCTTAATCAAACTCTCAGTTCCACCTTAAATAGTTCAGCATCAACCCGTTACAGAACGTCTCTGCTGCATCGTTTAAGTGGCTCTGTTTAAGGTGGAACGTTGAAGTCGGCGAAAAAGAAACTATCCAGGTTCGTGAATACTGGTGGTTCAGCTGACCGGTGCTTTTAGTGCCCCATCGTCACTGCCTTCAAAACATAATGTTCTCAGTGCAAATAACGCTTTGCAAGAACAGTCTCTCAAAATCTAAGCGCGTCTAAGCGATTTCGGCGGAGTAATTCTCAGCTCATTTTCTCCGAAATTCCAATAAATAATGCAAATTACAGCCAGAAACCCTTTTTCATCTGTTTTGGCTTTGTGACCACACTTGAAGACTATGACAAAATACCTGTAGCTCTGTCTTGGACTTTATTTATAGTTGATTTGAATTGTTGAAACATATAATATATATATATATATATATATATATATATATATATATATATATATATATATATATATGTAATCTGATTACTATGTTGGCAAAGTATATAAAACACTTTAGACTTTATAAATGTAAGGTACAAAAGAGTAGACCCCTATTTGGTCACTTTATCAAAGTGGAGTGTTACTTAAAATCTTTATCTACCTTCTGCAATAAGAAAGAAGTAAGAAATCTATCTATCTATCTATCTACCTTTGGTCCGAACTTATAACAGTGTAATGTGACGATTTATGTCTTTATCGCTGTTATATGTCCAAATATTCAATGATTAAATAAAAAATTAAATAATGTCAATAATGTAAATTATTAAAGGAAATAGCGCGGCGGTCTTGAACGCGGCTTGATGAGGTCACCGAGAGCCTGTCCTGTGATTGGTCGCTTCGATAAACAGCGGCGATCACCAACAAGGAAGGAGAAAGTGTTGCGGAGGGGATCTAAGTTTTTCTGGAGGGTGAAATAATAAATAATATCAGTAATAGCGTTAAATAGTATTTTGTACTGGGTACATAGACACAGAGCAGAAGCTGTTTGGAAAATCGCGTCGACATGTCAGTGAAAAAGCCGAAGCAGACTGTGCTGAACCCGGTGAGAGACTCTGTTTATCATAACTGACCCACTAACTGATAGTTATGGTTCCACCAACATTTCGTCGCTTTTGTTTTCGGTTGTGAACAGTTCTACAGTAGCTACACGGCTGGTTGGCGTCTTTTCGTTCTTCAACTCGCCATATCGACCCAGGAATCCTGGTCCAAACTGCTAATGGCAGGCAGCTGATAGGGTTTAACTAACAAGACAGTCTTGTATTTCTTGTTGTTGAAGTGCTTCGCACTACTGCATAGTTCCATGTGTTCCTGCTCTGTTCATAGAGTATACGTACACACAGTCTTTAGAGCTTATCTATCTAATATTCAGGCTTTGACAGACTTGATCCAGCTCCAGCAAGACCTGATCATTAGCCAGTGATATGACTCATTTGCAGGAAACTCACGTGCAACTGGAGTACAGGTCTGGAGTTAGGCCTCCACTGAATTAGGCCTGAGTTGTATTTCTTGCGGCTGATCTCTCTGTAGCACTGTTTCTTAACTTTCCTGTGGTGGATTTCACAACGCAGTCAGCCAGATAACTTAAAGGAGAATTCCACCTAGTTTTCAAAATTACTGAATAATTCAGTCGTTGAGATGTAAACAGAATCATTCAGAGTGGTTTGGTGTGAAATGGTTAATTGTAGAGAAACTTACAGACTCAGATTTTTTTTTACAGTGGTGGTGATAGGAACCAGGGGTTGCAGTAATATAGTCATTTTACTTACTATGCGAAACCACCAGGAAACCTACATGTGTCTTCTGATTTTTTACAACCCCGTTTCCAAACATATTGCAATGCTGTGCATAATGTAAATAAAAACACGATGTATTAATGTGCAAAATCATTTATCATTTATTTGAAAATAGTGCAAAGGCAACATATCAAATGTTGAAACTGAGAATTTTTTTTTTTAAATATATGCCCATTTTGAATTTGATGCCAACAACATGTTTCAGAAAAAACCCTGTGGAATGTTTCACAACTAATTAGGTTGATTGGCAACAGGTCAGAAATGTTCTGGTTATAAAAAGAGCATCTCAGAGAGGCCGAGTCTTTCAGAAGTAAAGATAAGGAGGAGTTCGCCACTCTGTGAAATACTGCACGAGCAAATAGTGCAACAATTCAGAAATAACGTTTCTTAACATAAAATAGCAAAGAACTTGGGCTGTGATCTTCGGGCCGTCGGGTGGCCCTGTGTTAAAAACAGATGTGATTCTGTAGTGGAAATCACTGCATGGACTCTTCTGAAAACTACTGTCTGAGAAAACAGTTCATCACTGCATCCACAAATGCAGCTTAAAACTCTGCCATGCAAAGAAGAACTATATATAAGCCGGATCCAGAAACTCCACTGCATTCTCTGGGCCTGAGCTCATTCTTTTTGGGAATCATAGATGTCGCATCCTTCGGGCTATTAAATAAAGTGACCATCAGGCTTGTTATCAGCGCACAGTTCAAAAGCCAGTACTCATGATGATATGGGGGTGCATTAGTGCACATGGCATGGGTGACTTGCATATCTGTGAAGGTGCCATTAATGCTGAACGATATACGCAGGTTTTTGTAACGCATTGCTGGCATCAGATTTAAAATGTGCATATATTTTTCAAAAAACTATAAAATTTCTCAGTTTCAGCATTTAATGCTTTTTGTACTGCTTTCAGTTAAATATAGAGTTTAAATGATTTGCACATTGTTTCATTGTTTTTATTTATATTTTGCACAGTGTTCCAACTTTTTTGAAATGGTTGTATCTATACTGTTGATGATGGTAAAATAGTGGAAAACCAGGACAAAATGTGTTTCTTTGGGGAATATTTTGTCTTATCAATGCCCTGCATTTATCCCTCCACCATGAATGGATTCAAATACATTTAAAGCTAAAACATTATCACAAAATTATCATAAAGCAATGTGTCAGACATCAGGCAGCATATATCTAACCATTTCATGTAATTCATTTCTGTAAAGGGAGCTTTTAGAGTTGGGTGTCTGGTTCCTATCACCACCATTGTGAACTGACTCGGTGATTTTTCACTAGAATAGTGAAAAAAATAGCTTTTTTTTTTTTTAAAGTCAGTGGCATTCCCCTTTAAACCAAAAATCAAGCTTGGCTTGACTTTCCTACTGAGCAGCTCTCATTTAGGGACTTTTCCAGCTTACTGAGAAATTCTGCCTTTTCCTCCTGTAGTTAGTGTTGGGCAATATGGTAAATTTTTTAAAAAATGTTTTGAGGTGTGATAAGTCAGAACAGACAAAAAATCCCGTGGTGGCACATCTAAATGATTCCATCAAGAACTGTAAATGTGATGATTTTTATTGAATATTTCACACACTGCACTACACCACATTTAATCCAGTTAAGCAGGTCTATGAAACACCAGTCTGTCTTTGTTTATTAAATACTGATGATATTGGTCATCATGTGATGTAATGTATCACATGGTTTTTCTGCTCTAACAGCTGACTCAGCTCCTGAAGGAGTTGATGATTAACTAATGAAGTGATTCTGATGCAGGGAGAACACAAATGTGTGCTGTCTAGGATATTAAATGTGGAAAATGTGTAAAGCAGAACTTATTTAACGTTGCCAAAAATGGACCAAATGGATTAAATCACAGCTTTATAATGTAGCATAAAAGGTCTTTTATGTTTATCTACATACACATATGTATACACAGTGCTGCTTGAAACTTTGTGAACCCTTTAGTGTTGTGCATTTTTACATAAGCAGTTCTATAGTTTTTATCCATTTATTAAATAAAGTGGTCCAACATTTATATATTTCAAAAGTGTGTGAACCTCTAGAATTATAATTTTGGTATAGTTGATAATTAGGTTTAAGAGGTTCAGTCAAGTGGATGGCAAAAAAAAACATCCACCTGAGTTTTCACACTCAAAGCCTGGTCTCTACTACACACATTTGTTAATGCATGCCATGTCTCAGGCAAATAAGATTTCTGAGGACCTCTGAGGACTATTAATGCCGCTGTCAGGCAGATAGTGTACAAATGAAGGAAATTCAACACCATTGTTACCCTTCTCTGAAGTGATCTTCCAACAAAAATGACTCCAAGAGTAAGGTGTATAATATTCTGGGAGATCACAAAGAACACCAGAATAACATCTAAGAATCTATAAGACTCTCTTACACTGGCTAATGTCAATGTTCATAATCAGGCAAACACTAAACAAGAACAGAATGGAATGATACACATGGAGAAATCCACTGTTCTCCAGAAGGAACATGGCTACCTATTTAAAGTTTCCCAAAGACCACATGAATGAGCCAGAGGACTACTAAATAATATTAGGTGGAGAAATAAAGCAACAATAGATCTTTATGTCTTAAACGAGATTTGTTATGTTTGGCAAAAAGTCTGCATTCTACCATTCTCATCCTAGCTGTGAAACATGGTGGTGGCAGTATTCTGGTTTGGGTCTGTTTTGCTGCTATTAAACCAGAACAGCATGCCATCATTTGATTAAGCTATGCGTTCTGGATTGTATCAAGAAATTTTACAGGAGAAGGTTAGGGCATCCATCCAACTTTGTATTATTGGGTTTTCGGGATTTATGTATTGTTATGACTTAAATGAGAATCTCATTGTGTTTTAGGTCACATTTATGCAGACATTCACACAGTGTTAAAAGATTCTATGTATGTATGTACGTGTGTATTAATAGGAAACTGATCTATGATGATTTCTGATTTCTCAGACGATTCCCCTCGCTGTAACCATCTTGGGGGGACTCCATCCAGGTGAAATGGTTCTAATACAGGGTTCCGTTCCCAGTGACGCAGACAGGTGAGTGGTGCTCATATATAAGTTTATCAATATACAGTTGGAATTATTAGCAACAGTTTTATCCAGTTATGAATAGAGTTTAATCACAGAACATTTTATTTTTTTATTTTGTCTCTGATGTAACATGAAGGTTCAGGAGCTAAACTCCTGTGTTGCAGGTTTCAGGTTGACTTCACATGTGGCAGCAGTACTAAACCCAGAGCGGACGTGGCTTTCCACTTTAACCCTCGCTTTAAGAAGTGCCTCATCGTCTGTAACACGCTGCAGCATGAGCGGTGGGGCAAAGAGGAGATCCACTATCAGATGCCTTTTGGGAAAGGAGCAGGTTTTGAGATCATTGTGCTGGTTGAAAAGGATGTGTTCAAGGTGAGAATATTGTTAAATAATTGTTAAAAAAACAAGCAAAAATTAAAAAACTAATAAATTAGCTTTGCAGTTTATTTGCTGAATTTAAGATGTTGGGCCCAATCTGTCATGTGTTTTAATTCTATTGGCTGTCTGAAACTGCATCACTTTTTTCAGTTGCTGTTTTTCCTTCTTACCTGCAGGTGGCAGTGAATGGCACACATGTGCTGGAGTACAAACACAGATTAGATCTGGGCAAAGTGGACACACTGGCAATATCAGGGAAGGTTCACATTCAGGCCATCGGCTTCATTCCCAGCACAGTGAGTACCTGTCGTCATGATCCTCTAATAAAAACAAAAACAAAAACAGTAATTTTTTTTACACTGTAAAACTTTTTACAGTGTATATTAATAAAACTTCACCATGCAAAATGTGCAGCACGGTCAATAAGAGCTATTAATAAAGTCACAGTGGCAGTGATTAGTGCACTGGTGTCTTTTTAACACTGAATTGTTTTCACTGGTGTCCTAGCCAAGAGCCAATCAAAATCCACATGTAAACTGTAAAAAGTGGCTCATCAGATCTACTTAAAAATTTACTTCGTGTGGTAACAAACAGTTGAACTAGTTTTATCCAACTTAAAACTACATTGATTCATTGATTTTTTTTTATTTTTTTTATTATTATTAATTTATTTTTTTTTAATTTCAGAGTTCTGATGTTTCTCCGGTTGATGTGAAGAGTTCAGGCTCACAAGCCAATGTAAGTGGAATTGTTTGTTGTGTTTGTCTGTGTGCACATTCTGCATGTATTTCTTTTCAACCCTTTAACTTTTGTCCAAATGTAAATCTCAAATGTTAAAGTAATGTATAAGTGGTTCCACAGCCTAGTCCTGCTCTGCACATCTTTGTTTTGTTTTAGCTAATGGGTTCTGACCAATAACAATTGTTGTTAACTTCTGATTTAAGGGATCCATAAATTCCAATGTCCGATTTTGATATTTTTAAGGAATATAATCCAATAAAATAGTCTTTCCAGTTTTTCTCCAGTAAAGTAATCGTCCTTGTGACTGAGAGTGATAAGCTAGGACTCTGTTGTCTCTCTGTGTGTGAAATGTTGTGACACTGCATTGAGCTGCTAGTGAGCAATGAGGGAAAAGAGAGGGGCGAGAACCCCCTGCTCTGAAAACAGTTCACATCTCTCCACAAAGATGGCCATGTGGAGATAAAAATAAACAGCACATCTGCTATCAAAAATCATGTACAGCTGTCACAATAAAAAAGCATTTAATCACAATAAAGCACTTTTATAAATGTTGACTTGCTTACTCACCTTATGAAGATGAAAGTCTAGTTCCAGTTTTTCATTTTCATCAGAAAAATTGCATCAAAATTGCTAAAGAAAAAGGGCGTAAACAGTGCTTTGCTTACAGATATTCTGTGTTCTCATTTACCAAAGTTCTTTAACTCAAACAGCAGAAACTTAAAGGAGAATGATGGAAGATGCTCTCTCAGTGTTTTTGTTTGGGAGGTGTGGAAAAGCAGTGAAAACATCTAAATGTGCAGAGCATGGATAAATGGAACCCACTGATAGGAGTGCTGTCTTAGAAAAGTCTTTCTGCTGAAGAGACTGACAGCTATGAACCCTGAAATAAGATCAACACTTTAACATGCTCTCCGTGCCCTCTTTTGTCCTACAGGCCGTGCTGTCAGAATCTGAAGATATGGTGAGTACACCTTATGCTTAGAGATTGTAGAGCAGCCTATACCATCTTATGCACAAGTTTGGGCACCCCAGGTCAATTTACCTGTTTTATTGATTTTCTAAGTGAAAATAAGTTAAAACATACAGAAAACACCCTTAAGTATGGCAGTTTTTCTGCATTTGTAGTGTGTAATTTCTGTTTATTATTATTATTATTATTGTTGTTATTATTATTATTATTATTATTATTTGCATTCATTTAAATTTAATGCATTGGAAAAAAATAAAACATAGCTTAGCAAAACCTAAACTTAGCATGTGCCCAATCTTTTGTGTATGCCTTATTCTATATTTTATGTACTTGCAATATTCAGCAAATAAACTGTAATTGTACGTTTAAATGTGTGTAGGGGATGTTTTTACTTATTTTCACTTAGAAAATCAAAAAAACATGTTTTTTCACCAAGAGTGTTCAAATGTCTGCGTAAGACATAAGTGTGTATATGACATCAGTGTCCAGAGATGGACAGAATAGTCAAAAACCACACTCAAATTAAAGTATTGGAACTACAGTGGAATATTTATTACATTAAAGCACAGTATCAGGTCCAAAGACTACTTAAATACTGAGTAGAATTTCCTAATACATCCAGCATATATCAACATGGGAACTTTGTCAAGCACTATTCTCTTTTTAGGATAAATTTGGTATGAAATAAAACGCTGAAGCTCCAAAGTCAGTGCTGTGGTCAGCTACAAAGTGGAAAAGTACTAGTCTAGCATATTTTTCCATGAGTACATGTAACTAAGGAAATAATAATAATAATAATTATTATTATTATTTTTATAGCACCTTTCATACATTAAATGCAGCTCAAGGTGCTTTATAGTAAAAGCAACAGACAAAGATAAAAACAGAGGAAGATGCAACAACAGAGAAGGAAGAGTAAAAAGATAATGAAGAATGGAAAAACAGTAAAAAGTAATAATAAAAAAGAGACACCAAAATCACTAGATACTACCCCCTTAATCATGCGACAATGATTTGTTATATGAAGGAGGTGTACTGGTGTAGTTATGGATTTCACCATATTGTGGATAACTTTATGTTGCTGCCCTGTGTTAGCTGAAGGTCAGCTAAAGCTAACCTTAGCATTTGGAAAGAAAGAAAGAAAGAAAGAGTTTCAGTTACAAACTCTCACCATGTTTAGTTTTATCAAGTTAAAAAAGAACCATTTTTATTACTATGATTCTAATTATCATTTGTATTATAATATTTTGTCCAGATAGTAGAACCTATTGTGATATCAATTTCAGTTCAGCTTGTCCACCTCTACTGTCAAAATGGTGCCTTGTTATTTTTGATTGAGAACATCTGGATAAGCTGATTTTGGTCTCAGTTCACACCTTTTTACAAAGACGGCCATGCCGAGATAAAAATGGATAGCACAACTGATATAAAAAAATTTGTACAGCTGCCACAATAAAAAAGTATTTTATCACAATAAAAACACTTTTATAAGTATTGATTACTGTCTTTAACATGAAGTTTTGTGCATGTTTCTTTTTAGAGTCTTCCTTTTAGGAGAAAGCTCGTGAAGGGCTTGGGTCCAGGACAAACCATTACAATCAAAGGTCAAGTCAGCTCCTTTTCACACAGGTATGATAATAATAATAATAATAAAAAATAATAATAATAAAATAATAATAATAATAATAACCAATTACATAATAATGATATAGATATCATAGATATCTTTGTATGATATTACAGTGTTGTAAGTGGACCAAATATCGTCACTATTGGCTTCCCCATTTTTGTCGTTTTTGTTTTTATATATTTTGAGCACAGCAGTTTCTCTTTACAGTGACAGTGATGATATATTTACTCTGTATGGGCATAAAATATACATAAACAGCAATACTTGCCTCATATCATTAAAGTCCCCTGAGTTGCTGGTTTGTTTTGCTGTTTTTCTTTCTGTTCATAGTTTCTTTGTAAACCTGCGCGTTAAGAACTCTGAGGATCTCGCGCTGCACCTGAACCCTCGACTCAAAGCTGGAATGTTTGTTCGTAACTCGTACCTATCAGAGTGCTGGGGTCCAGAGGAACACGACCTGGCCACTTTCCCCTTCGTACCAGGGGAATACTTTGAGGTACTGGTATCAGACCCTATCACATCCAACAGCTACAAGCATAGACAATACCAGTAACCAATGTGTGATCAGGCGTCCTTTTTATGTGGAAATAATTTTTTTGTTTTACAAACAAGAGCAAAAGTATGGAAGTCTGGAGAGGCCATGAGGTAGTTATAATTTTCTGGATTGTTATTTTGAGATAATGAGTTAATTATCTTGTGATCTTAAGATAACAATCCAGAAAATGATAGCAACAGCACAGCAACAGCGCATAGCCTCTCCGCACAAAAGTGTTAAAATAATATTACAGTGAAAAATGATTTAAAACATTTTTCCTACTTAACCTAAATGTAGTCAAGCAGGACATGTTTGGTGTTTTGAAGTTTTCTTCTTTAGTCTTGCACTGGAACTAAAAGGCTAATGTAGCTAACGAGTAATGGAAGCTTAAACCTCACCAAATAGCACTGTGCCAACTGCATGACTAAACTCTCACACACATGCCTGTGACTGTGTTAAGTAATCTCAAATAGACGTCTGTCATACAGTGTCAGAAATGACATAAGCAAGTCTATTACGTAGATAAAGTCGTAGCTGTAGTCGTTTTTAGCCTGAAGTCCACACTTTTGTCCTTTTTTATAACAGTAGGCCATGCACTGTCAGAAACCTAAGCTAACTGGTGGGCTGTGAGCTTCCATAACTTATGAACTACATTAGCACATTAAAACTAAGCAAAAACTGAAGAAGCAAATTTCAGACACTAAATATTTTTTAGCTGCTCAACTCCATTTATGGAAATTGTGTTTTAGGCAAAAAGTAAAAGGCTAGTTCAGGAATCGTACTTCAGAATAATAATATTAACTGGAAAGGGAAAAAAGGTGTAGGAGGAACTTTAAGTTGGCTTGACAAAGCAAACAAAGCTAATAACACTTCAAATGTTAAAGCAGCTGCAGAACACTAATCATTTTTGATAACTTAATTGGGTTTATATAGTAATCCCAGGTAGTTGCTGTGGTATTCCAGCTTTATAGGGAGATGCTTGATAGTTGTTAGGTAGTTTCTAAGATGTTGCTAAGCTGTTGCTATGGTATTCCAGGTGGTTATTAAGGTGTTATGCTGTTATTATGGTATCCTAGGTCATTGCGAAGGCGTTGCTAAGTCGTTGCTATGGTATCCCAGGTAGTTATTAAGGTGTTAGGCTGTTATTATGGTGTCCTAGGTCATTGCTAAGGTGTTGCTAGGCCATTGCTATGGTATCCCAGGTGGTTGCTAGTGGATGTGGGTGTGTGGGTGTGTGTGTGTGTATATTCATATGCAGTGTGTAGTGAGTGCGTATGTGGTGTCTGTGAGGGACAGTGTGAGAGATGTTCTTTGTGACATCATTGGTGGCAAAATCCATTAAAGGAAGGGTTTTTTAATTTTAGTGTACTAATTTTAGTTCATTAGTTGGATCAGGTGTTTCGGGAGTAGGCAAACTCTACAATATGCAGGGCAGTACTGCAGGACCAGGATTCAGAACCACTGATCTAACCGGTAAATTCTCCTGTTGTCTTTCAGATGATCATCCTGTGTGAGGCGCAGGAGTTTAAGGTGGCAGTGAACGGGGTCCATCAGTTCGGTTACAAACACCGTGTGCAGGACCTGAAGCGTGTGAATGAGCTGGAGATTATGGGGGACCTGCAGTTACTGGATGTCAAAATGTGGTGACCACACCCAGCCCCGTGAGATCATCACTGAAGAACACATACCACAGCCAGGCTAAAGGTTTCCAGACTTAGCTCAGCTCAAACCTAGAGAAGCAGGGTGTTTCTGGAATCATGCAAAGGGTTGCAGATTAATCCAGAAACGTCTGCTGAATTCCTCCAATGAAAGAACGAGCTACTTCTATCATTTCTGCCAATGATGCTAATATGGCATATCTCTCTTTTTAAAATAATCCCGTTTCCTGACCTTAATCCATATGTACATATATACACTCTCTGGTCACTTTATTAGGTACACCTACCTTGCATCTACACCGATTGTCCATGTTATCAGATCCACTTCCGATATAGGAGCACTTTGTAGTTCTACAGTTACAGCTTGTAGTCCATCTGTTTCTCTGTGTCATTTGTTGACTTGATGAATAGACAATGAGTGTAGATACATAGTACCTAATAAAGTGGTGAGGGAGTGGACATCACATGGCTTTGGCACTGAGCTGAGGGAAACTCTTCAGTCTGGCTGTGGAGCTCAGCTTTTCTTCTCACCTGCTCCTATTACTCTACCAAGTGAGAGACGTTTAAAGCAACAGCAGGATAATAGATAATATTATAGAGCTAAAACCACTGCTGTTTACTATATAACCACTTTAGCACCTTTAACTGAGCTTTAACCAGCAGACAACCAAGCCAATTTTTTATTTTGGTAATGGGGGTCCTGTTCCGGTGAGTTGAATAATTTTTAATTAATTGATGAAGATGGATAGTTATAAGTAATATCTTGCTAATATTGCTGAAACCTGCTGCCCCTCCTTTATAGTCTTACCTCATGTAGGTCTAACTGAGCGTCAGATTACTGAATCATTCTGCAAATAGAGAAAGCTTCCTGCTCTTGTTAAACTCTTGTTAAATTCACCTGTTACAGTGAAATGAGTGGTCTACCACTACTTCTGAATTGTTTGCTGTTTGCCTGGTCTAAACCATTGATGACAATATGCTATTTCTGTTTTCTGTTTGTTTAATAATATACAAGCTTCCTCACCTTAAACTCAACCTCTGTACAGTACTGTGTAAAAATATTTAATTTCTAGTCAAAACAGTCATTAGGACAAGTTGTTCCTTTTTCAACATCAGGAAAAAGGAGAAAAATGTATTTAACAGAAAATCAAACAAAAGCCTCAACAACTAAATATAATATCAGTTTTTTCAGTGTTTAGTGTGGCCACCCTTTTCCTTTATTACAATTTTCATTCTTTTTAGGAGACTCACTTTCAGCTTTTCAAAGAAATCTGTAGGGATGTTTGTCCCCCACCTCCAAGTTCAGTCTTAGAAGTTGGTTGCATTTTAGACTTCCCAATATCCCAAACACTTTCAGTGACGTTGAATTTTGGACTCCTTTTGTTTTCTTTTCTCAGTGAGGTTCTTCTTGACAGCTACACATCCTTTCAGACCCATAGCACTGAGTTGTCTTCTCACAGGGGAAGGATGGACAGAAACACCTGTGGATGTTTTCAGATCTGAAGCAGCTTGATTTTCTCCTCTCTCTCAAAAATGAAAGCTTTAAGTCCTGTTTATCTGATAGGAGGCAGTTTTGGTGTCTACCAGGTCTTCCATGGTTGTTCAGAGTCGCATTTTCTCTGTATTTTCTTATTTTCCTGTGACATTCTCCTTCCTTATGCAAGTGGATTATTTTATATCTAATCTCTTCAGAAATGAATAACTTGTATTTAATGGCAGTTTTGACTGGAATTGAAATAAAGGGTGGTCTCTACATTTTGCACAGCACTGTACATCACATGGCCTTTGGTTGGGCGAATATGAATGGTACAGTTTCACTGTATTGTTTGGCATCCTCAAGGCTGTTCATCAGAACATAACGAAATCATGTCAGATCAAATAATCCAGAGCAGAAAACTTATTGCAAGCAAGGCCTATAAAAGTATCAAATAAGCAAAGCACGTAAACGGATCTGAGAAGCATTAGAGAATGTGACGTCTGGAGACAGTTGGGCCTAAAGGCGCTGACATTTAGCCCTGCAGTCTCTAGACATCACAAACACGTTTCAGATTGCCTGGGACACCTAGAAATTATTATGGGGGAACATTTGCATTGGCATTTCCAGTCATTAAAACCAAATATCAAATCTTTTACCAAGAGAATGGGTTCGGATGTCATGTTCGCTACTTATTGCGCTAATGTAGAAACAAGCTTTTGAGTTTGGCAGATGGTGATGATTAAAAATATGTTGGAAAGAAAAACTTACCTCATATTTGATGATGAATTCTTCACAAAAAGTCAAGCAGCAAAATTCTACCACTATTATGCAATTCCCCTCATTCCAAGAATGTTGATGAGCCAAGCAAAGTTTGGTTTCTGAAGTTTGCTTCTTTTAGTTTTGCACCTTAGCTGAGAATTTAGGTGTGCAGTTTGGGCCACGCTACTTGGTGATTAGCACAAGTTACAGTCATGAGAACAAACTTAAATATGGTATTTTCTGCAATTTTTCCTGCACAGTTTCTGTTTATTTGCTAAGTTTAATGTGTTGGGAAAAAATGTATAAAATATGCCACAACTTTTGCACAGGCCTATTTTATGCATACTTTTCTTTCCAGTTTGTTAAATTCAGCAAGTAAGAGTTATTGTGTGGTATAGTGCAGTGGGTAACACCTCTGCCCTCAGTGCTGTAGACTGGGATTCAGTCTCCCACATGGGCAAACACCCTACACTATACCAGTAGAAGTTCTTGGGCAAGACTCCCAACACTACATTCGCCTGCCTGTGTATGACCAAATTGTAAATGTAAATGTAATGATAACCACCATATGGCATGGTGCATGCCTAAATTAACACACAGTAGCCTCAAACCATTTAGAGCTGTTAAGTAATCTCTAATAGTCTTGCTTTTGTGCTTTCTTACATACTGTTGTCTATAAACATGGACTAAAGTACATTGTACAGTGTTTAATTATAACATGAATCGAATGTATAGCATATCTGAAAACAGTAGTAGCAGCCAATTAGAAGCCTGAATTCCATCCATACGTGTTGTCTTTGGGCTAACAGGAAAACTGTGTAAATGGCATGACAGACTGCAGCTATCAAAGCCACTGAGACTGTCTTTACTAAAATAAGAATCTTAGGAATAAAAGCCCACAGAGCTGTAAACATGAAAGTGTCAGGGAGCCCCAAGGGCACAGCTTGATTCTATGCAAGTGTCCAGCAGTCTGACCATGCGGCCTTCTGCTAATCCTGTCCATTTACGGGTACTTCACAACTACATAATTCAGCACCTAAGATGTAAACAGTCATTCCGAGTGGTTTGATGTGAAGTGCGCCGTTCTATAGTAACTAACAGACTCAGAATTGTTCACAGTGGTGGTGATAGGAGCCAGACATTTAAGGAGTTTGTCTCTAAAAGCTCCCTCACAGACAGGTTTTACGTTAAGGTGTTATGAATATGCTGCCTGATGCTTGAGACATTATGATCATTTTGAAAAATTTTGGCTTAAAATGTAACTTAAAACACACGAAAGGCGGAGAGGTACATGCAAGGTGTTGTAAGGCAAAATAGTCCCAAAAAAAAACATATTTTTCCTGTAAATTATTCTTGTAAATTGACCTTTTTTGGAGATGCAATGTTCTGACACATCTAGGTCCACTGGATTGGATTTAGATAGTAAATAAAATGGCTATATCTATGTTGTAGACATGGTGACCCATGGTTCCTATCACCACCACTGTAAAGAAATCTGAGTCAGTACGTTTCTCTGCAATGAACGATCTCACACCAAACCACTCTGAATGACTTTGTTTACAGTCTTGAAGATTGAATTGTGCAGGAATTTTGAAACCGTCTGTCAAATTTCTTTTTTTAAAGCCCAAATCAAGATCTGCTGGAACTCTACAACTCCACAATTGCGTTCTTTCATAGCAACTGCCGCTGGGTTGCACAAGCTTTATAGAACATTGTCATGTGTCCCATTCTAGCTAATCCACAAATTTGGAAACAAATGTGCCTACCACGGCTCCCGAGTGGCGCAATCGCCTCAGCATTGGCCCTATCATCAGGAGACCACAAGTTTGATTACTGGTGATACTGCAGCCATCTGTGGCCGGGAGTCCTAGAGAGCACAATTGGCCTCGCTCTCTCTGGGTGGGTAGGATTTTCCCGCATCACTCAGTGGGATGCTGGCCAGCACAGCATCTGTTAGCTGATGTAACAGAACTGGAGGTTGGCATTTTCCTCTGAGTGTGTTCAGCTGTCCAATGATGTTCCGTTAGTTCGAAAACGGTGGTGGTGGCATTTCACGGGTCTCAGAGCGAGCCTAAGCTAGCTTTTGCCCTCTTAGTGCTGGTGGTATGTTGTGATTGGGGGAGTCCTAACTAGTGGGTGGAATTGGATATTACCAAACTGGGGAGAAAGCTGTGATAAATAAATAACTTAATACATTTAACATTAACTTAATTACACAGAGAAAAAAACACCCGATTGATCTCTCTCTCACATTTCATGTACATACATAATAATTGTAATTTGAAATGAAAGACTTGAATGACACTAAATTTCCATATTTTGATAGAAACTGAATTGTATTACAGTTTTCTCATTAGGTTCAATGAGATTTTTATAAATGTTTGGGAAAGCTTGTCCAATCTGACATCAGAAAGTCTGAAAGAACGCCTTTGTGGGCAGAACATGGATCAGTTGGAGTGTTCTTGAAGGACCAATGAAAAAGACAGGCTTATCAGTACCAGTGGTTCCTAAATGGGCTTTATGTTTTGAAACTTTGAACCATGCTGTTGTTTTCCACAGGATATTAAGCTAAAAGTGATCTATGTTAAAATGCTTTATGATTTAATATCTTGTATTGTTTTCTATAACAATCTGTAATTTTCTGACCAAAACCTCAATATAAAGTATAAAAGTATTTATTGTTTTTGTGTTGTCTGCTTATTTTTAGTGTACATACTGATAAAAGTGCTGGGACCTTATTAGGGGTTCTGAAGCATGATTATTTTCAGATATGATCTAACCTACATATCAGAAGTTTTGTGATCTAGCTGTTAGAATGTGCAAAGCCAAGGTGGAGTAAAATGGAAGTAGAGTTGGTGAGAGTGTTGGGTCAAGAAATCACCAGTAGCTCATTACAGATGTAGTGTATGTGAGTTATAAGTCTTTTGCATTCCGCCCTGCTTTGGTGGAACAGTATGATTGTATATGATCAGTTGAGGTAATTGAGATGGTTCAACTGATAAACATATCACTGATATTAATACAGGCTTCAGCACTATTGGAGCTGGGTTAGTTTTACCTGGGAGGTTCTATAAATCAAGTGATTGCTGAGGAGAACTGTGATTTTACTCCTTTATAAATCTGTGATGTGTGTAGTGTTTTTTATACATTAATAGGGCGTATTAATGATAATGATTCTCATAATTATGACTTCATATTTCACAATGAAGAACATTTGAGAACATCTGAGATATCTACCTCAATTATAACTCATGAGATACTGTCTCCTAATTGAATAAATGGCTCATTAAGAGTATCTCATTTATGACTCAGTATCCTAAATTAGTGTTAGTATCTGACTCAGTGTATGTCATTATTAAAAGATACTTTGCCTTACTGTCTCATTAGTATGGCATTAGCATCTCATTATGGCATTTAATAGGGTATAATGACAAAGTTTCTCATAATTATGACCTCATATCGTACAATAATGAACATTTGACATAACTGAGACCATCTCTGTTGTGTCTCAACCACAAGATACCATCTCATAATTGACCCAGATATTAAGTATTTCATTATTTTGAGATGGGTTATTCTACCATTGCAGTGGTAAATGATGCCTCACAACTTTGGATCCATGAAAATGAGCTCAAAATAACAATAAACCACAAATAGATGATGTCTGTGTATACTTTGTACTTTGACAACTTTGACAGTTTTTCTTTTCTAATTTATATTTGTGATTTTTATTCATGCATGAATATGAATGCATGTCACAGCAGTATTATTTTTATGTGAAACAATACTAATGGTTATCTTTTAAATTATGACAATGCATTATAATAACCCATCCTATGATACAATTATTAATATATATATACTTTTTTTTACATAATTTTAGTACAGTCTCTTTATATGTCTGACAAATTTGGCTAAAATGCTGAAAGGTTCATGTGTCCAAAACAGATAGTCAGTGGTCTTCGTCATGAAACACTGAAGTTATTTTAAAAACTGAAATAAAAAAGCATAAAATGTGAGTTTGAAATGAAAGTGTTTGAAATGAAAGTGTATTTTTTAGAAAAGCTCAGATTGTAGTAGTTTATTCAGTGGTGTTATGGTCAGCGGTGTGACTTTACCTTTACAGATATTGTTCAGTATAGCAGACTACGTTTCACACCTGAATTATACAACATGCAACATTTGTACGCAATGGTAGAATGACCCAGATACCACGCAGCATCTCACAAAAATTATAAACGTTCTCATTTCTTATGACATACTGTTACTGTTATTGTGTCCTGTGTTGTAATGCTGACGTGAACATTCAGGCTGTGACCTTTCAATCTGCTGTATTTCCTCAAATAAGAGAATTCATTTCAGATATAAAGTGAGCTGTTCTTTCTCCTGAGCATTTTGTGAATGAACGATTTCTTTTCCATACAAAGTTGTGAATTTATTGACAAGATATCACCTCTACAACAGTGAACTTGTATTTTGGCACATAATCACATCACCATAATGTGTTGGCACCTGATTTCAACATTTCAAAAAAGAAAAACAATCTGATGCAATATGACCATAGCATATTTCATATTCACTGATAAGACCACTGTCATATTGTCAGCAGAACCCCAGAGATATTAAAAGGCAGTGAGTTTGCATTTAAATCAGCTCTCTCTATTTTAGAGTGTTCTCCGTAATACATCAGTCCACAGTCATGTGACGGTGGATGAATCGCAGGCTGTGAGTCCCGAAGCGTAACGGTGGTCCACTCTCTGTGACCTTGTGAGCTCACAGATATATTTTAAGTGCTGAAGTGGAATGACTCAATGTTGCACAATGACACAGCAACGTCCTTACTAGGAACAAAGTTTAATTGTCGTGTCTATAGGCTGATTTGACATGTTCTGCACTTGGTCCTTCAACACAGAATCCTCTTTGAGGCATAGTGCGCGTACACCAGGAGACGTTTACCAACAGAAGAGCTGGAAGAATGCCTTTGGTCCTAGTTGTTGGGGCTCAAGGCTTTTTACAGCCTGCCGTGGCCTTTCGTAAGAGATAAAGCTCACTGGAAGTGGCTGTTATAGGTCTATTAGGAAAAAAACAGGGATGCACTGATATTGAATTTCATAGCCAATAATTAATAACTGATATCGCTAAAATCCTAAAAATGTATTGCCTTTTAATACAGGTTCACACTATAACCCATATATTAGTGCAGTGAATGTAAGACAGGTTAAAACTCTAAAGATGGTAGCTACTAGGGGTTTGAAAATGTATCAGTGCATTAGAGATCTACAGTACTGTGCAAAAGACGAGACCATTTCCAGTCAAAATGGCCATTAAATACATGTAATGAGATTAGATATATTATAATCCACTTGCACAAAACTGGAATATATTACATGTCACCAAGAAAATGGGACTGCAAAAGTTGGTAGACCACTAAAACTGCCCCCATCAGATAAACAGCTCTGTAAGCTTTCATCTTTGAAAGAGAGGAGAAAATCAAGCTGCTTCAGATCTGAAAAAAACCCACAGGTGTTTCTGTCCATCCTTCCACTGTGAGAAGACAACTCAGCACTATGGGTCTGAAAGGATGTGTAGCTGTCAAGAAGAACCTCACTGAGAAAAGGAGACAGACACATCGAACAAAGAAGCTGAGCAATGGACTGACCACCCCAGAGTCCAGACCTCAACATCACTGAATGTGGAATTACTTGGATCATGAGAAGCAAGAAATGCAACCAATGTCTAAGACTGAACTTTGGAAGTGTGAAAAAATGCCGATTTCTTAAAAAAACTGAAAGTAAGTCTCCTGAAAAGAATGTAAGCTGTAAAGGCAAAGAGTGGATGCTAAATACTGAAAAATCTCATATCATATTTAGCTGTTGAGGCTTCTGAGTATCTTTCTGATACATTTTCTGCTGACACTGAAAAATGAATAACTTGTAAATAATGGTCGTTTTGACTGGAAATAAAATACATGAAAGATGGTCTTTTGCACAGTACTATACATCCCAGCTAGCTGCTCATGCTAGCCACCTCATATTTGTTAGGATAAACAAACCACTGGAATGAATTTTCAAATAGTTAATCACATTGGTGACATTAAAAGCCTTAGGTCCCCCTTGTTGGACTCTGGCTGAAGATTTATTGCAAACTCCAATCCTCTGTTGGGCCTCTAATTTGTTGTATATAATTCTAATATCGGGCCAATGACAATAATCAGATTTCCCCATTTATCAGCAATAATATTGGCTGTAGACATATCGTGCACCCTTAGATAAAAGTATGGCTTTTGGCCCTGACCCAGCGGCTCACGGCTTTTAGGGACTCGTCCGTTTGTCTGAGCTGGCCAATACCAGCAGTCCTCAGACAGAGCTAAGCTTGACCAGGCCACGTACAGAGTCCTCGTGGAGTGAATCCTGGCTGGCCGGGTCGTACAGGGGCACGTGGTGACCCAGATGGGTGGCGCAGGGCGTCTCCTCTGGGCTGATGAAGTGCTGGTGGTGAATGTGATGGTGACAGTGGCTTTCAGAGTCATGCAAAGCCAAAACCTCCCCTCCACAGCTCAGGCCAGGGATAGAGGAGGGCAGGGAGGGCAGGGAGGGCTGTCCAGGGCCCAGGGCTGAACAGGGACCCCCCACTGAGGGTTTGGGCTGCAGGACAGGAGCTCCACCCAGCAGAACAGGCTGAGCATGCAGCAGAGGTGTGGTGGCAGCCTGCAAAACGAATTTGGTGCTCTGAATGCACTGATCTTGGTGACACTGAGAGTGAAGGGAGAGAAAGAGAGAGAGAGAAAGAGAGAGAGAGAGAGAGAGAGAGAGAGAGAGAGAGAGAGAAACAGGTGAGGACAGACAAAACACAAAGAAATGAGAGTAAGAAGTTGTTACAGAGAAACATGAGTTAGGATAAAGCATCAGTGAAGACAACTGGAGAACAAACAGAACAATTATTTTGTAGAAAGGAAAGCACGATAGAGTCAAGTTGAAGAATGCCTAGACACTAAAAGGAGAGATCTAAAACATAAATCTTTCGCATTCTGCTGTTCTCAGGGCTTTAATTTGTAATGAAGTCCTGGAATACTGAGTAGTAATGGATCCAGCAGGTTGGCAAGGTGAGTGGGAGCTCCTGGAAATCTGAGTGAGCATTCGTCGTAATGTTTGTGACTCTGTCATATTAGATATTATAAAATGGATAGTCCCGGTCATAAAATCTGATTGGCTGAGCCGCGTTCGAAGCTGTTGTAAAATCCACGATATACGCACACATATGACCGCCTCACAACCACTAAATTGTGTATCAGAAAAAAAAAAAAGTTGAGTTAACACAGTTTCCCTCCTTCTTCAAATGTAGTCAACCAGCAAAGACATATTTAGTTTCTGAAGTTTGAACCTTTATTTTTGCACTGGAGCTACAAGGATAACAAGTAATGGAAGCTCATGTCCCACAGTTTAGCATTGTGCTAACTACATTCCTTAATCATTACATGCTTTCCTCAAAACCAGTTGTTTTGTAATGTCAAATAGACTTGATGTGGTTTCTGACACTGTATGTCATGATGTTATCTATCTAGCTTTTGTCCATGTTTGTCCATCAATACTGTACATCTAAACCTAAACGCAGATAACCACATTAGTACTGTACATCTAAACCCAAACACAGATTAACCACATTAGTACTGTACATCTAAACTCAAACACAGATTAACCACATCAGTACTGTACATCTAAACTCAAACACAGATTAACTACATCAGTACTGTACAGCTAAACCCAAACACAGTAGCATATGGAGGGATCTGAACCTTTATTAACTCTCTGTAGAGCAGTCATGACGGCCCTCCGTAAGCTGTACATGGTTGTAGGCCTACCAGTTCCCCGTGACCCCTTTAATGAGGGCAGAAGTTGCTGTACCACCTCACCATTGCCCACTGAACCCCTTTGAGTGCCACCACAGCAAAGAGTTCTGATACGGACTTTTGCTTCCGCAACACTTTTTAGAAAAATCTATCACTGTTTCCATCTTTTTTGCAACATGTAGGAGTTTTTTTTATTACCAGTTTTTCCATCCTCCTTTTTTATGCTTATTTTTCGAATTCCCAAAGAAGAGTTGGAGGGAAAACCTGCTCTTGACTGGGTTTTATGTCACACACACAGATCTTACCATATGACTCTGGAGCTGAGTTGTTGGACACGTGTTGGTGCCATTTGACTGAGCTGCGGGCTGAGGGGCGTCTGGCTCTACGAAACCTCTCCTGTCAATCAAACTGAAGGACAGAGAGAGAGAGAGAGGGAGAGTTAGAGATAGAGAGAGAGGAGGGGGAACGACAGCAGATTAGCAGCTTTCAGCCAACAGAGTGAGTGAGTCACTGAACGTGGGTGAAAGCTGAAGAATGAGTGAGCTTCAGGGAATCGAGAGGGTCCCTGCCTCTGCCTGCCTGCCTGCCTGCGTGTTTGTATGCGTATCAACTGGGACTTCCTCCCACTCTGTGTGCCCACACACGAAACAGATGGTAACCACCTGTACCAAACCTGATCCAGCTCCGTTTCCCCATGTTGATGGGGAAACTTGCTAATGGAGTGCAAAACGTCGGCTGTGGGCGTGTGTGTGTGTGTGTGTGTGTAGTACAGCTGACTGAATGAATGTGTTTCATCATCCTAAAGATTAACAGCTTATGCTTAAATGCTTGAAATTTGTTTCTAAGACAAATATAAACAGTGAAATTGATGCCTACAGTACTGTGCACAAAATCAGAGAATCCAATTTCCAGTTCAAAACGGCCAAGTTATTCATTTTTCAGCATCAGAACAAAGCTGAAAACATATTTAACAGAAAAATTACGAAGAAGCCTCAGGAATTAAATACATTTGTTTCAGTATTCAGTGTATCCACTCTGCCTTTATTACAGCTTCCATTCTTTTCAGGAGACTCACTTTCAGTTTTTTAAGAAATGTTTTTCCACACCTCCAAAGTTCAATCGTAGAAGTTGATATACATATACTTTTATTTCTACACTCTCATACTTATGTCTGATTTTTTTTATTTATGCCTAATTTATGTATATTTTTATTTTCTATTTTTATTTCTGCATAATATATGTAATATATTCTTTCTTTCTTTGTTCTATCTATCTATCTATCTATCTATCTATCTATCTATCTATCTGTCCGTCCGTCCGTCCGTCCATCTATCTATCTATCTATCTATCTATCTATCTATCTATCTATCTATCTATCTATCTATCTATCTGTCTGTCTGTCTGTCTATCGGTCTATCTTTCTTTCTTTCTTTCTTTTATTTCTGTCTGTCTGTCTACCTGTCTATCTATCTATCTGTCTGTCTACTTAATCCAAGTAATCCCAAACACATTCAGTGATGTTGAAGGGATGGTTCTGTATCTTTTCAATATTTTTTGAAATCCAATTTTGGAAACTTCTGTTTTTTTCAAAAACAGAATGAATGACAGAATGAATAACTTGTACTTAATGACCATTTTGTCTGGAAATGAAATAAATGAAGGGTGGTCTCTGACTTGTATAGAATACGGTAATACCTCGAAGAGTAAAAATTAATACACTTTCATGTGTTTTATGATTGTACATTTAAAAAAATCTCAGTAGATGTGCCCAAACTTTTGACTGGTACTGTATATATTTTGAAAACGTCCTCCTTTACATAAAGCAGTATCAGTCCGTATCAACAGTAATGAAGAATGGCAGCTGAGGTCATTTACGAATTTGGTTCCTCCAAATAACTCTCTTCCTAAGAGAATGTCATACTGCAGCTGCTGGAGAGCAGAGTGAGGCCATTAGCAGCTCGACTCAGCATCAGTCATATTCATACAAACCGCTGACATCATCACACTGTCCCAGACGCAGCTGAATCAGTTCCCCGAAACGACAAGTGTGCGTAATTACCTCCTGAGAATGTAGATGGAGATATTAGCTGAAAAAGATTTTCTCTCTTCATGTGTATGTCAGTGGCACTCAGTCCTGGTCTTGAAGTACTCACTGTCCTGCACAGTTTACTGTCTTCCTGCACTGACTAAAAGTGTAATGATTTCAACACAGTTTCAAAAAATGGAAAAAAAAATGATTACTTCCCACTTTAACTAGGTGCAGCCTATAGTGAAGTGGGGAGTAGGGGGTCTTTTTCTGAAATTGCTTATAGATTCTATGTGTTGTGATTTTTGAGGCTTATTTTGTAAGAGGTTGGGTTGGTCAATATGACAAAAAAAAAAATAGCAACATCATATTTAAAGACATTTTCTCGATATACAATGTATACATATATTTATATAATATATATATAATACATATATTTATACAATATTTGATCATGTATTTGAAACAATTAGTGGTGTCAGATAAAAAAAAAAGGGTTACACTTTTTTTGGATGGTCCCCAACTGATGATCTACAGATACTTAAATCAATAACAAAATTTCTGATGATAGTTGATTATGAACAACACTATGGTTAGTAATAAGTTTAGGAGTAGGTGTAGGTTTTGCCTTGAGGTTAGGTTTAGGGTTAGATTTAATAGAACCTTTCACACACAACTTTCAAGTTCAGTTGCATTTAATGGATATTTAGTTGAAAGTTACTTAAAGATATACTGACCTTTAACAAAGCATCTACAGTGGACCATCTAAATAGACTGTTACCTTAAACAGAACAAATTACGTTCTCTTTGTAATGAATCATGTGTGTTAAGTTCTGGCAATTTACCAGGACATTGTCGATGATTGACGAGCAACCCGATGACAGTCTTAAAAGGCAATAATCACCGTGTTGGGAAACTGAGACAGAACTAGAGAGGACTAAATTATCATTACACAGCTGGCTAAATATGTTGAGAAATTGGGGTTGATGTTTCTTTAAGAAGCACGCAGGTGTGTGCCCCAATAGCTGAGAGAGAAAGCTCATCTAATTTTGTCTATTGCCAGAAAATCTATTCGTCTATTGATCATATTGTTTGTTATTGAAATAATAAAAAATAAATATTGTTTAATTTTTATTAAAGATTTTCATTAAATATTTAAAAAGCATATAAACTAAAAATAGAAGCAGAATGCATTTTTGGGGGTGCAAATCATGACTTTTAATCAGAAAATATCATGCTAATTGTTGCTGATATAGTGTGATTTGCTTACCTAAGCAAGGAAACAAACCCCAGCCTGCTGTATGGAGGGCAAAGGTGTTACTCGCTATGCTATGTGGACCTTGATTAATTGAGTTAAGTGTATTAAAGCAACTAGCAGCAAACTAACAAATGCAACAGCCAAGTGGAGCTCCAGTATGGAATGGTCTCAGATCACTTGTCATGTGTTCTTCAGTCTCATGAAGCATTACAGGAGAAGACTCAGAGCTGTTATCTTTGCAAAGAGAGGCTGCACAAAAAAATAGATTAAGGGGTGCCAATAATTGTGGCACACACAGATTTGGGAAAATTATAAAAAAGATAAGATTTTTTTATTTTGATCACTGTACTTCAAATAAAGATTAGATTTGTTAATATTTAGAATGAAAAATGAAAAGGACAAGTGATAAGGGATGTTTTTTTACAGCCTGTTTTGCTCATGTTTACAAAGGATGCCAATATTTGTGAGAGGGCACTGTATATAATATATACATTCATTGGTTGGAACATGTGGATAGTTGATGAAAAAGCGATTAACCATTGCAGCCCTGGTACAGAAAGAAAGCAACAAAGAAAGACTCAATGGGTGAATGTGTGTGTGTTGACCTGGGCGGTAGAGGTCCACACAGGGCAGCGCAGCAGTTGGTGAGGATGTTGCCGTGGCTGTACGGGTTGTAGTTGTCTTTACCTCGTTTGGATGACCATGAGCCTTTGATCTGAAACATGGACACGCTCAGTAAGAACAGCAGCAGCTGTCAGGAACAAACTCCTCATCTCCCTAACCAGCAAATTATCATAAATCAATGGTCCTGGAGAGCCTCTGCTCCTGTTTTCCCTGCTCTAACATACCTGGTCTAACTAATTAGCTCATTAACGAGCCCTTCTTAAGTTGAACTGCGTCTCAGAGCAGGAAAACAGTAATGTGCAGGACAGAGGGACTCCAGGACCTGAGCAGGAGTCACTGAAGCTTTGCAAAGGAAAGCTTTTGAAGGACCCATATTTAGAAGATTGTGCCTCTTCTAAAGGCAGTCCAGGCTGAAACACTCCTTCAGTGTGAGTGGGCGGGGCTAAAAGTGTTACAAGCCAAATTTTATATGTATACACTATATTGCCAAAAGTATTCACTCACCCATCCAAATCAATGAATTCAGGTGTTCCAATCACCTTCATGGCCACAGGTGTATAAAACCAAGCACCTAGGCCTGCAGACTGCTTCTACAAACATTTGTGAAAGAACGGGTCGCTCTCAGGAGCTCAGTGAATTCCAGCGTGGTACTGTGATAGGATGGCACCTGTGCAACAAGTCCAGTCATGAAATTTCCTCGCTACTAAATATTCCACAGTCAACTGTCAGTGGTATTATAACAAAGTGGAAGCGATTGGGAACGACAGCAACTCAGCCACGAAGTGGTCGGCCACGTAAAATGACAGAGCGGGGTCAGCGGATGCTGAGGTGCATAGTGCACAGAGGTCGCCAACTTTCTGCAGAGTCAATCGCTACAGACCTCCAAACTTCATGTGGCCTTCAGATTCGCTCAAGAACAGCGTAGAGAGCTTCATGGAATGGGTTTCCATGGCCGAGCAGCTGCATCCAAGCCTTACATCACCAAGCGCAATGCAAAGCGTCGAATGCAGTGGTGTAAAGCGCCGCCACTGGACTCCAGAGCAGTGGAGACGTGTTCTCTGGAGTGACGAATCACGCTTCTCTGTCTGGCAATCCGATGGACGAGTCTGGGTTTGGCGGTTGCCAAGAGAACGGTACTTGTCTGGCTGCATTGTGCCAAGTGTAAAGTTTGGTGGAGGGGGATTATGGTGTGGGGTTGTTTTTCAGGAGTTGGGTTCGGCCCCTTAGTTCCAGTGAAAGGAACTCTTAATGCTTCAGCAGAACAAGAGATTTTGGACAATTTCATGCTCCCAACTTTGTGGGAACTGTTTGGGGATGGCCCTTCCTGTTTCAACATGACCGTGCACCAGCGCACAAAGCAAGGTCCATAAAGACATGGATGAGCGAGTTTGGTTTGGAAGAACTTGACTGGCCTGCACAGAGTCCTGACCTCAACCTGATAGAACACCTTTGGGATGAATTAGAGCGGAGAGCCAGGCCTTCTCGTCCAACATCAGTGTCTGACCTCACAAATGTGCTTCTAGAAGAATGGTAAAAGATTCCCATAAACACTCCTAAACCAGTGGAAAGCCTTCCCAGAAGAGTTGAAGCTGTTATAGCTGCAAAGGGTGGGCTGACATCATATTAAACCTATGGATTAAGAATGGGATGTCACTCAAGTTCATATGCGTGTGAAAGCAGACGAGTAAATACTTTTGGCAATATAGTGTATATATCTATCTATATCTATATATATATATATACATATATATATATATATATATACACCGATTAGGCAAGACATTATGACCACCTCCTTGTTTCTACGCTCACTGTCCATTTTACTAGAGCAGATGACCAAAACAAACTGTGCAGCAGCAGATGAGCCATCATCTCTGACTTCTACATCTACAAGGTGGACTGACAAGGTAGGAGTGTCTAATAGAGTGGACAGTGAGTGGACACAGTGTTTACTCCAGCAGCACTGCTGTGTCTGATCCACTCAGACCAGCGCAACATACACTAACACACCACCACCACATCATTGTTACTGCAGCGCTGAGAATGATCCACCACCTAAATAGAACCCGCTCTGTGAGGGTCTATGGGGGCCCTGACCACTGAAGAACAGGATAAAAGGGGGCTAACAAAGTATGCAGAGAAGCAGATGGACTACAGTCTGTAACTGTAGAACTACAAAGTGCACCTATATAGTAAGTGGAGCTGATAAAATGGACAAAGAGCTTAGAAACAAGGATGGGACATAATTTTATGCCTGATCGGTGTGTATATATATATATATATATATGTATGTAAGTATGTATGTATGTATGTATACACATATTGGTTTTCATGCTATCACCAAAATTTAAAACGGGCTGTTTCTGCAGCTTAGTTTCCATATAGTCAATTGCAGTAGTTTGAACATTTGACCAACATCTTGAAAATATGTTAACACATCTTCTGCAGGGAACAAACTTTAAATATGAGATTTTCAGTGCACAGTGCAAGTGAAGTTATATTGGAAAAAAGTCAGACATGAAATATAAAATGTGCCATAACTTTGGACAGGCTGCATTTTATTTTCACAGTATGTTAAGTTCAGCTGATAAACAGTAATTGTGCATTAAAATGTGCAGAAGTGTGTTCTCTGAAGAGGATGTGTTCACTTCTTTTCAACAGGAGTGCCCAATTATGCACACAACTGTGTATAAAGTGTAATGACCTCACTGAAACTTTAACAATGTTTATAAATGACACTGAACTCTTATTTTCAAAATTGCAAAGAAATGTGTTTGTCCAAGATATGGGTGATGGCATATAGGCAACCTCTTATCAACTTAAAAAAAACTTAAGAAGCTCTCAAATTCTCAACAAATCATCTCATCAGTCCCATCCAGTGTCTAAATCATCTTTAGAGGCTTATACAGCTCTTTCAGTCTAATACAAGTCTGCATTGGATATTAAGATTATGAAAAGAATAGTTTGTGTTCTCAGAATTCTTCTCAAGAGAAAATTAAAAAAAAAAGAAAGAACATTTTTTTTGATGAATAATCGTTGAACTTTTTTCTTCAGTCTGAGGTTAAGAGAAAAAAGCATGTTTGAGAAGATTTTAACCATATCACACTTCCACTCGACTACAAAAATAATCATTTCTTTGAATTGTGGTGGTACAAAACTCTTATGTAACTGTCTTTTCTGCACATTGTTATATTTTTGGCTGATTTATTTGCAGCTTGATCCAAAATCGTCTCTCCCGTCTGCACTACCAATCAGTGAAGGGGTACACACTCTTCCTCTGAGACGTTTGAAGTCTGCCACCCTATCTCTAACACCTCTACAGCGTTTCCTTTGATTATGTTCAGTGGCCTAATATAGCCAGCTACACTCCAGGGGCTGGATTAAAGCAGGATTGCATAACTGCTTTTGCATGAAATATCTGGTCTGCATTCGCTTACATATTCAGAAGGTGAAATAATAGCAGAGGTGGGCAGTGCGGCAAAATCTGTGACACTTGAAGACATTTTCACGATAAACAATACAATATTTACATTATTTAATTTTATGAGGTTTAGTGAGTTGAAACAGACATACTGCACCAGTAATATCACATTTAAAAAGGCTATTAAAACTGTGCACAATAGTTTGAACTCTCAACATTTCACATACTGCATAGCAATGTACCCAATTAAGCAGGGCCAATTATGCTCCCTTGGTTTCCTAGCAATTTCCCACCATAGAGCCAAACTGTAGACAGCTACTCCACTTGGGAGCTCTGTTAGAAACTCCCTTTAATGAAACATGCAGCTTTTTTAAACAGTGGTTTTTAAGTACTGATGATACCTGCGATGTGCTCACAAGAGCTTATCTGTGGTGTAACATACTGTAATATCACCCTTTCCCGACAGATGTAACTAGGATGTCACAGTTATTACATAACCTCCTGATAACTAATTTGCAACAATATATTTGGCGTCAAAACAAACAGAATGTATATTAGGTGCTTTTTATCAGTTGAGTTGAGGCAAATATATGTATATAAAAGAAAGCAGAGAACACATTTACTGAGACACATAATCTTACAACACAACAAAAGTAAGGTTTGATGTTTGTTACGAGCACCTTCAGACGGCTGCGGTGAGTAATGTTTGTTTATTTGATGTTTGTTAATAACACCTTTATAGGGCTGCGGTGAGTAATGTTTGTTTATTTGATGTTTGTTAATAACACCTTTATAGGGCTGCGGTGAGTAATGTTTGTTTATTTAATGTTTATTAATAACACCTTTATGGAGCGGCATTGAGTAATGTTTGTTTATTTGTTGTTTGTTTCTGACGCCTTTAGGGGGTGGCAGTGAGTAATGTTTGTTTTTTTGATGTTCGTTAATAACACCTTTATAGGGCTGCGATGAGTATTAATTATTTGATGTTTGTTAATAACACCTTGAAGGGGGCGGTGAGTAATGTTTGTTTATTTGATGTTCGTTAATAACACCTTTAAAGGGGGCGGTGAGTAATGTTTGTTTATTTGATGTTCGTTAATAACACCTTTAAAGGGGGCGGTGAGTAATGTTTGTTTATTTGACGTTTGTTAATAACACATTTATAGAGCAGCAGTGAGTAATGATTGTTTATTTGTCATCTGTTAATAACACCTTTAGATGGCGACGGTGAGCGATGTTTGTTTATTTGTTGTTTGTTGAGAACACCTTAAAAGGGCGGGAGAGAGTAATGTTTGTTTATTTTAGTTCAATCTGTCAGTTTTGAGCTGCTGAATATTGACTGCTATGAGATAACTAATCAGCTAATTTGGCTGCTTTAGGCTTGTACTTTAATATGTACAGATAATAAAAAAACAAGTTGTTATTCACTATTATTTATGTGACAATCGTCTTAATAGTTCATGATCATAACAGGGCTAAATGAAGCCATGTTCTGTACACATGCAGGGAGGAGGGAGATATAAAGAAAATGAGTTACTCACGTCTTCATTAGTCGTCTGGTTGGAGCTGATCAGGTAGGTGTGGAAACCCGACAAACCCACGATGGACCAGACAGAGAAAAAGCACACCACAACCTCCAGAACAGTGCGCCAGTCAAGGAAAGGAGAACACTGTTTCCATGACAACACACAGACTTTCCTCATAAACACACACACACACATGCACATTCTCCTTTCTTTACACAAAAATGATCTTCATCAGTAGAACTGTACACAGCTGGAGGACTTAGCTAGTTGTTATTTTCTTTTTTATTGTGTTTTTGTAAAATTTTAGTCTCAGCCATAATATAATCAGTAGTTATGCACTTATGTGAGATATAGAAGACACGTCTTTAAACATTTTTATCTGATTTTATTCTCATTGAGATCAGACAATATCATACTTACTAATATGCTGTACTGTGCGAAAGGTTTACGCCTGAAAAAATTAAACAGATCTAAAAAGCTGTTTATCTGGGCAGTAGGTGTTTATTTGCTCTGAAAAAAAAAATAATCACAATAAATACAAATAACATTAAAACAACAAATATGGATGTATTGATGTCAATGTATTTGTTTAACCATTTCCTAACCTCTCCTCAAGGAAGCCCAGTGTCAATACTTCATTGGAATTTAACAAATCCATGTCATGCCTGATGACGTCCAGGAGAAAAACATTGTTCTTCAGACTAGCTTACAAGATATCAACTATTTTTTTCTAGACAGGAAATCTCCTGTTACACTATATGGCCAAAAGTATGTGGACACCCCTTCTAATTATGGAGTTCAGGAGTTTCTGCCACACTACCACATTACTAACAGGTGTATAAAATCAAGCAAATAGCCATGCAATCTCTAAAGACAAACACTAGCAGTAGAATGAGTTGTACTGAAGAGCTCAGTGACTTTAAATGTTGCACTACCTTATCACATGATGCCACCTTTGCCACAAGTCAGTTTGTGAAATTTCTGCCCTGCTACATCTGCCCCAGTCAAGTGTAAGTGCTGTTATAGTCGAATGGAAGCATCCTCTGATGCATCACTCACAACAAAGTTCCAGACTTCCTCTGGAAATATTTTGACTGAATGGGCACAAATTCCCGCAGACACACTCCAAAAACTTATGGAAAGCTTCCCAAAAGAGTGGAAGCTGTTATGGCATCAAGGGATAAGGGGCTGGCTCCATATTAACGTACATGGTTTTGGAATGGCATGTTCAATAGCTCATATAGGTGTGCTGTGTCACATACTTTTAGCCATATAGCGTACTTTTGATTGCATTAATGTCATAATCAGTGTATGTTTAATATTTTACTACAAAAACCACAAATATCCCACATTGTTTTTATGTATACAATTCCAGTTACTTTTGGTCCCAGTGATGATAATTTCTTTCCACTGTGTTCACTTTTTTGTGTGTATTTTAGCTAATAAAAATCCAAATTTGGCTCCAATATTCAAGTTTTTCTTCAGCTCAGAAACAGAGGATGTGCATGTGTTTACCTATGTGTTATCCTGTGTGTATCATTAGGCAGTAACTGAAGCCTGACAAGACAATAATTCACTGAAAGCAGCAGGCGGGCTTCGGCTAATGAACCCAGCCATCGCTCTCCACAGCAGGCGAAAATCGAGGGAGAACAGATGTCATATGCTATTGCAACTCTCTCACATTCAAATCCACTTTCATCTCTGCATTAAAGCGGCCTCGTGTAACACCACATTCCTTTATCATTTCAAAGAGAGAGAGAGACAGAGAGAGAGAGAGATAGGGAGAGTGAGCGGGAGAGTGGGCGTTCAGCCACGTTATTACTTCTCTCAAACCTACTCAGAGATGCTACTCTTTGTCACTGGGTTTTGGGGGTGTGAAAGCCAGAAATAGACCGTTAGCATGGCGCGTTCTCACTCGCTCTCTCTTTTTCACAAACGCTGAGCTGCTGTAGAAGGATATCTGGCCGGACTGTCTTTCAGGGCACTCAGGAATCCGGTCCGGTTGGATCCTAAAGAAATTGCATGGGTTACATAATGAACTGAAACTGTGCAGACTCCAAAGAGACAGGAGCACAATGAATTTATCCTTCGAAATGACACTAGGGCCCATTTTTCACCCTTATTATTACAATGTTTCTGTGGCTCCTTGTACTAAGAACAGTCATAATTACATATTTCATAACCATTTTATAACCTCTTTTTATCCCTTAGAATTGGGCCCAATCCCATTTCTTATTTTTCCCCCTACTCCTTGTATTCATGTGTCAACTTGCCCCTTGGAACTGAATTACAAGGGGTAGTGCTTGAAATCTTCTCGTACAAAATGGGACCCTCAAATAAAACAGAACATTGCTTCATTAACAGTCTACTAACAGTGCTCTGTAGGCGACCCTGCCAGTCTGCAGTGATAGCAGAGGAGGGTAAAGTTCAGCAACCTCACTGCTGAGCTTTAGTTAGTTTAATGCTTTTAAGGGGGGGTAATTATTTATTATCGCCCACCCCTAATTCTTTGGTGATATGAAGTTGAAGTCAGATATTCACCAGCTTCTTGTTCACATTTCCTGTTCCATCAGATGGTGCAGCAGTTACATCTTGGCACCTCAGGCGTCAGCACTGCTGGACTATTTAAGGTGGAACAGGAAATTAAGCTAGCTAGCTACCGAGACATTCTTTGGTCATTTGCACAGCCATCTTGCTGTTTTTTCTTTTTTCTCATAGCACTGTTTGGAGTGTGTCTCTGAAAAACCTCTGTTTGGAGGGACACTTCACCCTACCCCTCTATCCCAAGAAAAATCGGGACACCCTACTCCTAGGAGTGAATGCGCAAAATGGAGGGGTAAGGGCTAAGCGGTAGGGACAAGGGGTGAAATGAGATTTGGCTTTAAACAGGCTGTTTTTTGTTGCTGTGCCTTTAAGACTGATATATCTAGAAATCCTCTGTTCTGATTGGCTGCCTTGTGTCATGCCTTGCCTGAACAAGAACACAGGCTGAAATGCTCAGTGATGCTCCTTATCACGTGGGTAGTCATATGTGTCTTTGTCTCAGTGCACTCAAAATGAGCTGCTTCTTGCGGCTTAGTTTTGTATACGGTTGTGTGCAAAAGTTTTGGCGTCCCCGGTCAACATGTTATGTGTTTTGTTGATTTTTAAAGTGAATATAAGTTAATGCATCCTCTACGGAGAACACACTTCTGCACACTTTAATGCACAAATTGAGTTTATTCACTGAATTTCACATAAAATATATCTAAAAAAAAAACATGAAACATAAAATATGGCCATCACAAAAGCTACAGCACATATGTTGTCCATTTCATATTTTCCAAGTAAAAAAATAGAAAATTGTTAAGTAACATTTGCAAAAAAATCTCATATTTAAGTTTGTTCACTGTAAATGATGTTTCAACAAAATCTAATTTGACCAGGTGTGTTAAAATTTTGCATAGTGTGTATAGACTGTATGCACTGGGGAGTGAATGGTATGTTTCTGTATACTAGAGTGCTTTCTTGGACATGGATTAAACCTAGCTTTGGACTAAATGGTGATGCCAATGGTGTTTTCCAACATTAAAAATCCTATTTAGTCTTGGTTTATGCTCTGGATCTGGGAAACCAGCCATTAGTTAATTATCAAAGCTAATACTAATCCAGCTAATCAAAACAGCAGGTGGTTTCCACTAATCTGTTGGCCACTGGCAGGACTGCATACACAACACAGTTAAGAATGAACCATGATTTACTAGCCACAGCTGCTACGTGAGCTGTGGTTTGTAATCTTTAGAACGCTAACCTTGTTGACCATGAATAATGAACCTTGCTGTGGAGAAAAAGGTAAAAATCCAGCATGGGAATCATGATATGAATGAACCAAAAGAAATGGCCCAAAATGACTTGCAAAAAAAGTCTGGTTCAACAGTGATATTCTGTATTCTTTGGTGCAGCACTGTATCTTTCAGTCTCATCAGCTTGAGAGAATTCCTAATATTATATTGATTTCTTGTTTTCATTCATCAATGTTCTCTTACTACACAAATACAACATACAGCCATGGGGAATCCCTGTCGTGTCAACCAATCGTGACTGCTAGTCTAGCCACCGACCTATAGATTAATAATAATAATAATAATAATAATAATAATCTAACCAAGCTATCATGAGTGAAACTATCACCTCAGCTGGCAGATGTACATGCAAATTCTGAGACTGCATCGGTCACCATTTCCTGGAGGGTTTGTTTGGTGCTATGGCATGATGAATCCTGAAGAACCTGTGATTCAACTGCACTGATTTTGGTATGTTAGAATCCATTATTATCATTTAGAACAATGTAAAAAAAAACTATGCAGTATTTTTTTTTCTGGTTACAATAAAATTTTCTGACTATATTCAGTTGTAAAAAAAAATGTTGTCTGTATTCCACAACTGTCTAAAAAGTTCCTTAAATTTGTGTATTTATTACATATCATGCAGTTTTTTGAAATAAAAGAGTTTGATGCAGTATGTAAATATTGTGGGAGGTTTCAAATTGTACTATTAACTCCTCAGTCCATACAGTCAATATATGGACACTAAAATGCAACTATGTCCTGATTTAAACTCACTGTTTTTGTTTAGTCACGAAAACCAATATATTGACATATATCCACCTTTTCAGTCCACAGCAATTTAGCCCCTCACATTTATGCTTAAGTTATATGGAGTTTTTCAACCTGGATTGCTTTTTGAACAAGGAAGCCAATCAGAAATTAGCTCCTTAACATATATCAGCCTTAAAAACACAGTAACAGAAAGAGCCTGTTTAACTCTAAGGGTTAAAGAGAGGTGGGAAAATGGTCATGTAAAAACAAATGACTGTTTTTGATACATAAAGCCAAACAAACGTTATAGATGGATGTCAGGGAAAAAACTCAAATGCAAGCGAAATGTGGTATATGGTTCATTTAAAGTAATTCTGAATCGTACCAACTAAATCATACCGTCTAATTACATCAAATCACTGTGAAATCTGAGATTTTATTGTGCTTTGACTAATTTCAGAAAGATTCATGATCAGATTGAATTGTTGTGAGGTCAGAGATTCATACTCCTACTGCCTGGCACTCTCTGAGACAGGAACAGCCCTGTCAGCAGCCCGCAGGCATCGCTATTGACCAGGAGCCAGAGGGGGGGTGCTAATTGATGGAAAGAGGCCGTCCATCCATTTTCACTGAACAAGAAACTGTAAGAGCCTTTTGGTGCAAATATGAGCACAATGCAGTCCACAATTCTTTGGACCATGACAAGTTTTCTTTATTTGGCTCTGCATTCCAGCACACTGGATTTGAAATCAAGTCATGACTATGAGCTTATAGTGCAGAATGTGGAAGCTTTAAAGGAAAACTCCACCAATTTTTCCATTCTACAGAAACTTACAGAGTCAGAATTGTTCACAGTGATGGTGATAGGTGGTAATATGATAGTTCTAAGGTAAAGTTTTGGCCTATTTCTTTATTCATTAATGGCAGAGAGATACATGCAGAGTGTTGGAATACAATATAGTCCCTCCCAAAAAAGGATTTTTCAGATTCACCACTTTTTAACATAATCAGCATTACACATAAACGTTCAGAAGACACATGTAGGTTCACTGATTGTTTTAGATAGTAAAAAAAAGTGGCTATATTTGCATTGTAGACATGTGTGACCCCAGTTGCGAATGAGTCGGTAAGTTTCTCTACAATTAACCACTTCACATCAAACCATTCAGAATCATTTCATTCTCAATGACTGAATTATGTAACATTTTTTCAAAAATCTGTGGAATTCCTCATTGATTTGAGGTTGTTTTCGCCTACTTTACAGACCAAAGAGACAGATAATAGACAGTGATAGGTTTATTATCACAGAATAGACAGGTTTGTTCCTAAATATCTGCAGTAAGAGTGTGTGCAGTAAGTGATAGTTAATGAGTTGAGCTCTAATCAGATCCACCTGATTCCTCCATTCAGATTCTCCTGAATGTTCATAAACTCAGTCAGGTGGGTTACATTAGGACAGTGGAAAAAATTAATGTAAGAGGCTGTTTTCAACAAAGAGAGCGAAGAAGACCTTTTCATAGAATATGCTAAAGTAAGCCTAGCACTGCAACACCAATGGAAGTTACTGCTTTGTGAAAACCAGATGTCAGTAAACGTGTTGTTGTTAAAGTGACCTACTTGTAAAATATTTCTGGGAATTTCAAAAATCTCTGCTTATTGCAAATGAAATGTAGTACAGAGCTAAAAAAGTGAAACTAGCCTTTAAGACTGTGATGACCTCAGTGGAGAGCGGCGTATGACGTTTCAGGGTAATTTTAACTACAATAAAAGCACACAGGCTGAGGTCCTGAGCTTTAGTTTAACCTGTTGAGGGTGCGAATAAAACATCAGCACTTGAGCTGAGAATCGTGGAGAGCTGAATAAGAGCAGGACTGTGTGTGTGTGGGTGGTTAGCGTTACTCACTCAGGATGACGTGGGTGATGACAAAAGCGAAGATGAAGATGGTGAGGAAGGAGAGGGAGAGGATGAACAGGTAGAAGAAGCGGTAGTTTCGCTTTCCAACGCAGTTACCCACCCAGGGGCAGTGGTGGTCAAAACGGTCTGGTGAAAAAGAAAAAGGACACATTTGTTTTTATACAATGTCAGACCACAGAGCAGATGGCACATATAAATCTGATCAGGTTACTACAATACTTGTAGGATCTTTGTACAAAAAGCATGATGATTCTGTAAAATATAAATGTATAAAAAGTAAAAATGACATAAATATATTTTTTATTTCACAGAAAACATCAGGACGTCTCTGAATGCCTAGAAAGCCCTGAGGGTTTTCTTATTGTTGTGTATGTGTACGTAACTACTATATCTATACTATATCTAACAATATGCCCCATATGTATTATATGAAAGTACCTATATGTAATAACAATATGTCCCATTTGTATTATGTACATATGAACAATACGTTTCTAGCCCTAAAATGCAAAGCAACCCTAATCACTGTCTCACTCACCCACACAGTTGTCACACAGGCTGCAGTGCGATGCCCGAGGCGGTCTGAAGATTTTGCAGGTGAAGCAGTACTTCAGCTTGACTGTCTGACCGTTGATGAGCACCTCTCTGGTCCTGGGAGGAGGCCGATAGCCTGGACCACTTGCTCCATTAGCATCTGTGAGCCATGCACACAGCACAGTGAAAAGTACACATTCTAAATTTTTCATGTATTTTATTTTTATCCCCAAAGTCAACTTATAACATTTGCATGCTTTTATCTACCAAAAGCAGTTCCATTCTTACATGATCAACCTTTCCATCTTCCCTTTATTCCCTAAATTTAAACAGGCTGGTTTTTGTGACTGTGGCTCTAAGACTGATGTATGTAAATGACATCTAATCCGATTGGCTGCCTCATATTCAAAAAGCAGTACAGGATAAAAGGTGCAGTAACAACATTCCTTATCACTTCAGTGTGAATGGGCAGCTGAACTGCTGCAAACTAGGTGGTCATAGGTCATGTGTAAATGTGTTAATAGTTGTGACATCACAACCATAATGATTTCAGAGCAGCTTTCAAATATGGACCGTTTTTGACTCGCATGAATGGTGCATTTTGAAACCGTGTTAACAAAGCTAATCAAACTGTTTAAAAAAAAAAAATCAATGGAAATTTAGTCTTCCGTAATATGGGCCCTTTAAGAAAGCAGTGTAGCAGGTGTTGATAATTAACAAATGAGTTGAATCAGTTGTGTTAAAGCTATAAAAACAACTGTGCTTTTGGCCCTCAAGGGCTGGAGTTTGACTCCCATTTAGCTGGGTTAAGACGCACTCCACTTCTATGTGTTTTTCCCGGATACAAAAACAGCAGACTGTGCACTTTTGTGGAGCTCTATGGCTGTTTCAGCAGGAAAAAAGCCCTGGGGCACAGCGACAGTGTTTACCAGGCTTCAGATTATTCACCTGAGCTGCAGGACCGTTAAGACTTGTTTTCCTTCAAGCTCCTGCATCCAAACAACCAGAGCCAAGCACAGTTCACTGTTGGAAATGAGGATTAGTATCATTGAGGGCTGTAACAATGATTTGTTTTGATCTTGATAATTCATTTCTACATGACCATTTTCCAAGGTAAATAGGTTGTTTTTGTCCTTGTGCCTTTAAGACTGATATGTAAACGAGCTCTGTTATGATTGGCTGTCCTGTATTGTGCCTCATTCAAAATCTGGGCTAAAACTCCTTATAACTTCAGTAAGAATAGGTGGGGCTAAACTGTGGTATGCTAAATATGAGAATATGTAACCAGGATGTTTTTCATGACATAACAAAAAACATGAATTCAAAATGGCTTATTTGCCACAGATGGACTGCACGGTTTTCACACTATATCAAACTCTTTTATCACTGAAAAAGTGAGGAAAATTCATTTTTTGATGATCCTTTTTTTAGGGTTTTCGATACAGTTTTCTCTCCAAGTTCAGTCATATTCAATTTCACCTGCTAGGTCTCTCTATATCTCGCTATTATTTAGTTTCACATTTGCAAATAGCCTGAGAACTTATTTTTGGCAAAAAAGTGAGTACATACTTTCCCAGAGCTAGCTGTTCAGCTTCTATATGGGTGCAACAGGTCAAACAAATCAGACAGCTGACCCTTCTCTAAGTCCTGTCACTTCCTTGGTTACTGTTGCTATGTTTGACAAGCTACTAAGCATGCTATGTCATCTATAGCATTGAAAGCTCCACACTTGAAGATTCAGCCCATGAAATTCATAGTACTTTGGATAAATACATCTAAAACAAGGACAAACTAAGACAAAAAGTTCTACAGTTTGCGTTTGAAAGCCACATGCAAAAATGTTTTTCAATCTATTATTATTATTATTATTTTCATTATAAAAAAGAAAGGGCATGTATGTCTTTGCTTAGCATTGCTTGCTCTTTTTTATTCAGTATGCCCAGAATAAACCTACAAAAAAGCACATATTATATTGAATATTATTAGAATCGATTATAATCAGTCATATTCTTCCAAAATCAGTTGTATCATGAAGTGTCAATGATATTTTACACCTCTGCTATGACTACATTATGACTAAGCAGAAAAGCTATAAGAAAAAAAACTGCACAGTGTCTGGGTTAGCTGGCTGCCTGAGGTGTAGCTGTCTTTGCTAATGTCTGTACAACCAGACATTTAGGTTAAATATTAGGCTTTAAAAAAGTGGAAAAAAAAATCTAGAGACTGAGCACTTCATTTTCTGCTCTAAGTATGAATATTTAACAGGTTTTTTCCATTTTAAACACCGACAGGAGAAGCAGGCAAGGGCATGTATTATGCATATCCCGAGAGAGGAGGAGATAATGGCAAATCCTCTCACTCTAAATCCTAACACACCCCGGAGTCTCTCTACATCAGTCAACAGAGCTTCAAGTCTCGGGAAGCTGAAGAGAGAAGGCCGAAAGGGCTTTGTTCTCCCACAGTTCATATCTAACGTTTTGTGCAAAAATACTGGCACGATACAAGACACAATGAGACATCTGTGACGCAGAGTAGTAGATGTGTGGATTGGCAGGAAACATCAAGTAACCTCATGGAACTGATCAAATTAAAGAGATAGTTTGGCAAAATATAAATGTAGTCAGTCAGCTGAGACGTGTACAGTGTCTGAAGTTCGCTTCTTTAGCTTTGCACTGGAGCTACATGGCTAATGCTGCTAACAGAGAATGGAAGCTTATACCACACCAGTTAGCTTTAGCATGACTGCTGAGTTTGATTAAGGCTTGTAACTCAAATTTCCAACCTCCAACAAGGAAAAACCAAAAAATGTCCCATTAACTGGGAATTCTACTCAGAAAGTCGGGAAGGCATCTCACATGGTCCACAGTAATAAAGCACCACTTCACTACTTTTTAGGAGCATTCCGGCCTAAGACTAGCATAAGACTAGCACTAACATTTGTCTTCTCATCCATCACTGTTCTCTTACAACAATACCCAACATTACACAAACTACATCACACAATCACTGGGAATCCCTACAGCACTCAACAAATGCTGAATGCTAGTCACTGAGAGGCTAATTAATACATCTATGATGCTAGCTAGCATGAGTGATGCAGCACTAGCCTCAACTGGTTGTCAAACTGTTTGTCTTTGTTAAAAGAATAATTCAGCCACGCTGAATAATTTGTAGTCTTTCAAAATGTACTTCCCCTTTCAGAACAGACAGATGGAAGTGTCTAAATGAGATTATAGTAGTATCTTTCGGTCAGTCAGCATACAGAAACAGTAGTTACTCATCTATAAACGTGCAATTGTGTGCAATCTGTGGTTGAGCATTTTGTAACATGGGTTGTGACCGGGTTAACTTCATGATTGTGAGTGAGTTAAAAGAGTATTCAAAGTGAACTCAGTCAACTTTTGGGCAAGGACGTGTCATCTGAGGATATGAGTGGATTATCTACTATTGTTTTGATAACTTCATCAGTATAATGTTGATTTTGCATTCAGACCTAAACATTGAGCCAGGCTTTCTTTATTAGCCTATCCACATGATGCGAAAATGCAAAAAATGTACAAAAAACATGAAAGAAATTGAAAAATTTGAAATGCCCATTAAAGGAAAATAATGTTATTTTGATATTATTGTGACTTTGACAAAAAGAAAGTACAGGAAATGTTAGTTTGTTCATGTGTCCATTTAGCCCACATAGTGTGAGCTTTTGGATGTTAAATGGCTATTAAAAATCAGCCAAAAAAAGGTCAATCCGCCAATTTTGCTGTAAAGAAATTACAATCCTCAAAAATGAATGATCGGTGCATCCCTAGAAAATACATCATGAACTTTTATCACTTCATGTTTTCCATGTTTTCCAGGTGTCCATATTTTTTCCTACTTTGTAGCTCGTAGGTTGAAAAATATTTAATAATTCCGAGCTCTGACTTCTCGTTACTGAATTAAGTTGAACGCAGCATATATCACACACTTGCCTCAAACTGTTTTGAGTTGTTAAGTAATCTCTAACAGACTTGCTTATACGGTATGGCATACAGCTAAAAACAGCTATGTAATGGTTTTCAGTCTGAATTTTGTCTGTACGTTTGTCCGTTTCACAGTTTGCATGATGTGGGGTATAGGCTTCTACTACGTTTCAGCTGTATTAATCTTGTAGCTCCTGAGCAAAACTAAAGAAACAAACTTTAAACTCAAACATGTCTTTGGCTGACTGGCTTTCTTTTGGGGTAATGGGGGAAATTGTGGACATTTTTTTAACCCACTCTGTCTCCCATTGTCCACCGCACTTAATGTAATTAATGTAAGTGCAGCTAATCTTTTTATATTCCTATTTGTAAACAACCAGCCAAACAAACAAATAACCAAGCACCAATAGGGCACTGGTGGAGTAAAATATTGGAATGGTGATCCATAACCATACAGTTACCACTGCAACTGTTTTTGTGATGTGCTGCTACCCCACAATCTCAAGCATATCACTATCAGCCTAACCAAAGGTCAGAGTAATTTATGCTATATCTGTCATTACTACTGTTATTTTTATAATAGTTCATTGTTCCCTGTGTGTTGACTGTATATTTAAGAAAATACAATAAAAACAACTGCATTTAATAAGTAAGCTCAAATAAGTAAGTAAGTAAGTAAACAAACATGAAGTGGGTGGTGTTCAGCAGTCTTGGCCTACCTATTTGTCTCTCCACATCGGCTGCCTCGTCTGGAGTGGCCCTGGGCAGCACGCCTGGGTCACTGAAACTGGCCCGGAGGAGCATGCCCATAACGAAGAAGAACAGCACTCCACCGATGGCTGGAATGGCAGGGGTCAGGTTGGATGCCAGGAACGGGCAGCTCAAATAAACACAGAGATTCAAGACAGAGAATTAATTAGAGTATCAAGACATCAGATTGCAGCGGTGTCAAAATGCATCGCTGTGTCTTGACATTTCAGTCTGAAGATGGAGCTTAAAATGCATTGATTTTAATATTGATTTTGATGGTGTATTTTTCTATTGCCTACTACTGTGTAAATAGTTCCTGTTGTAACATTTCTGTATTTGGTTTATATAAAAAAATCATTCTGAATAGTACCAAAATATAATAATAAAAATAATAATAATAATACATTTTATTTGAGGGTGCCTTTCAAGAAATCCAAGGTCAACTTACAATAAAACAAAATGACAAACAATTCAAAACAAATAAGGTTATCTAACAGAATATGCCATCTTGACCAGACATGTTTTAAGATGAGATTTAAACAGCACAGTAGAGTCTAAGTGATGAATATATGGAGGGAGAGAGTTTCAGAGTCTGTGCGCAGCACAACTAAAGGCCCTAGCATCCATAGTACAAACACGATAGGGTGGAACCGACAGCAGGCCGGCAGCAGATGACCTTAAGATGCAGGGAGGGGTATAGCACTGAAGGAGATTGGTGAGGTAGAAAGGAGCCAAGTTGTGTAGAGCTTTAAGTGTAAGCAACAAAATTTTGAAATGAATCCAGTATTGTGCAGGACGCTAGCTGAGTTGAAGGGGTACAGGGTAATATGTTCAGTAGGCTTTCAGTTTGGCTGAATAAGAATTTCTGTGCTGTGCTGAGAGAGGGCTGGGCATCTTGCAGTATTGCAGAGAAAAAAATGGCAATCCAGGATGTATTAATAATATGTTTGTTTGAAAGTGAGCTTATTGTCCAGGATGACACCATGGCTCTCTAACTTCGGAGGAAAGGGGTACTGAGCAGCTATCAAAACATAAATTAAAACTACATACTGTAGATAGTGTGGACTTGGAACCAATGAGAAAAGCCTCACTTTTATTATCATTTAATTTGAGAACACTGGCAGTGTTTGGCTTTGTGGAAAGGTAAAGCTGGGTGTCATCAGCGTAGCAATGAAATTGGACTTCATGGTGATGGAGGATCTTATCCAATAATAAGATACATATAATGAACAGCACTCGGCCCAGTACTGAGCCCTGGGGAACACCGTGTGTAACTGCAGAATACTCTGACCTAAAATTTCCCAACTGCACAAACCACTGTCGGTTGTCAAGATACAAAGCACACCAGCTTTGGGCGACAGGAGCAACTCTGATGCCAGCCAAACATTCCTATGGTAAGGTCAAGGAAACATGAGGACAGACAATAGGCCAGAGTCTGCAGCACAAAGGATTTGTTCTAATCAAATCATGATGAAATTTGAGACTTCAGGATGCATTAAATTCCTAAAGAATCATCGTCAAAAAGTTTGTGGTAAGGTCAGGGATTTGCTCTCTTTCTAGACTGTGCTATAATGAAAAAATGAACCTTTTTTTCAGCATAACAGAAGAACACATCATTATATAGGGGAGGGGTGACAGACTAATGTTAAAATGTAATATGAATCTTTTATGTACATAAATAGGTTTAAGTATGCTTTTGGTTTATCTCGTTTTCCCAAAGCAACGTCATGTACAAATTTTTGACAGCAATAGAGAAAGAAATTTCTCAACATTCACTCCGAAGACTGTTTTGTAACTTTTTTCACCTGATTTTTTTTATTATTAAGGTTGTGTCTATAAGTCACACCATACATTTCAAAATAATTTTAATCTCCATTTGGGTGGCTGTAATATTGCAATGTTTTAAAGCACGTAAATAATTCTCAGTGAGAGCTAGCTAGGCTAAAGTGTCCTCCACACAGCAGGGTTAGTTTAACACAGTGTTACATCTAAGCCTCCTTAATTAAACACTGAGAGAACTCCATACCCTTTACATTCTAGACAGTAGAAGTTTTATGTAATTCAGAATTAGAATGAATTAAAGATCAAATATAATTCAATTTAATCAAGCAGTCATTTGCTGTTCTACTGTATGGTCAAAAATACATTTTGGGGTTAACACAGTGGGAAGCATGCTGTCCCAACATTTTTAAACAAACCAAATTTAGAATATATATATATATATATATATATATGTGTGTGTATAAAACCACGAGGTTAATTGGTTGAAGCATTAAATATCTTGTCTTTGTACTGTTTTCAACTGAATAAAGGTCAAAAAGGATTTATTGCTGTCTATTTATATTTTACCTACTGTCCCGGTGTTTTTGGAACAGGGTTTGTAGAATTGTATTGAGTTAACTGTGTTTATTACATTTTAACAGACAATTTAGCAACAGGCCCCTCAGTCTGTTACAGTTAATAAGTTGCAACACTCGCAGTCGCATCACTTTCAGCTTCTTGTTTGTAGATGGAGGTACAGGAAATAAAGTTCACATTTTCATTTATAGCAGAGATGTGTAGGCAGTCTGGATTAAAAAAATATTATTCTTGCTCAAAAACTTTTTAAAAATGATTTAACAAAACCCAAAATATGTTACATTGTGCCCTTCTCTCCCACACTGCATTCATAAACCTTTCCTGGACCTGCTGAAATGTGTCTCGTTTCTCCATAATCCCCTCCCTACAGCCTCCTGTAACACGGGACTAGGAACATAACTCTGTCAGTTAATAATAGTCTTTTGTTTTCTATATTTATCATGACGTTTGATATTTTTTTACCTACAGGCAGATGATGAAATAATGGAAACACAACAAGCAATAGGAGAACAGCAATAAGCAGCCGTGCTGCCATCTGCACATGTTGAACAATGAGAAATTGGGCCATTTAAAAAAATAGGTCCACTGTCATGTTGAATAGCTGGTATAAGCAGTGTGGGTTGGAGGTTTCAGGCATGTTCTAAAGAAACATGAGCCTCTCCGACTTTAAAGGATAAAAGACAATGAAAATGTTCTACACATTCTAATGCATTTTTAAAACTGCATTTGGTTATAGTTTTCATGAAATAAAAACAGTATCACAAATGTCTTAGTGGATTTATCAGAAAGTGTGACGGCTGTGCGTAAAGTGACTTCTAAGGTATTTTTAAGTGAGGGGGTTTTTCAGGATCTCTCATGATCTGTTCATCTGATGTTCTGGCATCAACTTCAGCTTTTGCACTTTAAAAGGCCGAATTGTGTTTTGTCAGATGTCAGAACACTATTTAAAAGTTCATTCAGAAGTTTGAAATCATTTGTTATTTTCTTATTTTTATGATAAATAATGCACTATAATTATCTATCTACATTATTTTGTCAAGTTATCCACCTTGAGATTTAATCTTCAGTTTCAAAATATGATGAGTTACTGACATAAATTTAAACAGTCACATGCAAAAGTTTGGTCAAATAATGTGTATTTTGATTTTGTAAGTGGAAGTAAGTTCACACATCCTCAACACACCACTGCACAGTTTAATGCACAATTACTGTTTATTTATTTATTGAATTTTAACATATTGGAAACAATAAAAAACAATAAAATGTGGCTTATGCAAAAGCTATGGCATATTTTATTTCAATATGTTAAACCTCACAAATAAATAGAAATTGTGCATTATAATGTGTAGAAAAATACCATGTTTAAGTGTGTTCTCTGTAATGGATGTTTTAACTTATTTTCACCTAGAAAATCAACAAAACGTCATCTCATCTCAAATTGTCAAATCTATTTGGTGACCTGCTTGTGGAATCACTCTGGTGTTTGCCAGCTGAATGAGCTAGTCCAAGGTTTATCATTTGTATTCCACTTTTTCATAATTACCCTGTTCATATCTTGTGTGACACAGCAAAATTAATAAAGGTGAATGCTGAGTGTGATTAAAGTGAACGCTGTCTGTTTGGTAGTGTTGTCAAGACCAATAGAGGTGAGTCTGAGCTGGACACAATGGTCTGACTGACCGATACCTTCCTAAGTTTTTCTTAAATTAGTTCTTAAGAAAGGTCCTAAGATATACATACATATATATATATATATATATATATATATATATATATATATATATATATATATATATATATATACAACTTAGCAAGGTAACTTTTGGAAGCAGTTGATGGCGACATTCTTCTCTGTCCTTTCTTTTCTAAAACTTACTCAGAATCACCACTTAAAGTCAACTACAAACCAAAACCAAACAACACACATTTGTATTGCTAAATGTATAGTCATAATTATATTCCAGTCTGGCCTCAGTGGATGTTTGAGTTTTGGAACCAATGAATATCAACAAACAACTAATACCCAGCTAAGCCATCATGGAAAGATCAGCCAGTAGTGTATGCAGTACTCTAGTCTCGGTTTCAAGACCATAAATTAACAGTTCTGACTCAGTCTTGACATCATTTTGACTCTGTCTTGTCTCGGGCTAAGATGGACTTCAGGAGGCCAGCTGAGTGTGATGCCTCCATCTGAGGGAACTGGAAACCGAACTCTTAGTGTTGAATATCAACAGAATCTTCAAACAGTGAAACAGTTCTTTCTCTACATGTTTCAATAAAATCTGTTCACTGCAGGTTGAGGATCTAACTGATCTTTCCATGATGGACTAACTGGGTATTATTTATTTTGTGATGTTTGTTGGTTCCAAAACTCAAAGGGCAGATCAGAATGTTATTATTAGTATGATTTCATTTAATAATAAAATGGATGAGTGTTCTTTGGTTTATATTCAGTTGACTTCAGATGGTGATTCTGAAAATGTTTTAGAGAAGAATGGTCGGAAAATAACTTCACCATCATCTGCTTACAAAGTTACAATGCAAAGTTGAACTAAGACAATAATGTAATAATTAATAAATAATACTATGATAAAATTACGTAATATTATGTAATGATACACATGACAAAATATACTAAAGAAACATGGTATCATTTAAATATGAAAATATATTATACATTATTTTTGTAGAATCAATGAATACAAATGAAGTTTTGTTTTTTTTTCTCTTTCTTCTTTTTATTTTAATATGCTGAAAAAATTCTTAATCTGG